TGATCAAATATTAGAGGGCTAGAGATTGGTGACCTGTTACCCTAAACACCGGTACATAATATCACCACTTAATGTCTAGTACATCTGTTCAACAAATATAAAAAAACATTGGTACATAATACGACCACTGAATGTCTAGTACATCTTATTAATCATGTGTACAAAATGTCACCTTTCAATGTCTCGTACATCTTATTAATCATGCGTACAAAATGTCACCTTTCAATGTCTCGTACATCGATTCCATAATCTTACCAATCATGATGAATATCTCAGCAAATGTTGTCTGAATGTTCTGTACATATAGACATGATTCTTGAGTATGGTTTGTATTTAATCTTGCCTAATAGGTATTCTATATAGTGATGAATTTATTGATGCATATAATATACTAGTATAGATTTTAATCACTTATTGATGCCATTAAAGAATGTTCAAGTCAATGAAAAGTGACAGATATTTCTGTATAACACTGACAAGCACCTGTACGAATTACTGATTTTATTTGTTCACTTTATTGCAAAACAGGTATACAGAAGTGTTTATGTGATACAGAACTTATGTGACAAGTTCATGTGTTTGATATGTCACAAGCTTAAAGGTGATTAATGATAAATCATCCTTTTAATTTCTAAATTGATCTATAATATCTTACCTGTAACACAGACACTTTGTGATAAATCATTTCATTATATGATTGAGAGGTATCTCACACGTATACCAATCATCTTTTGCATATCACACAGAAATATCTTTCATTTTCCAGACATCAATAGCAGTAACAGATTGACATCGAAGAATTCATCATCATTCAAATTGTTACATTGGTAATATATTCTCATCTTGGTTTCTTAAATAAAAGTTCAAATGAAAAATCTCATTGTCAAAAACCACAACCATTTAAGTAATATAGTACCATATCAAAAGCATACATCTCTGGGCCGGAAGATCACATACTAGTTATCCTACCTCCTCAATTAAAGAGTCTTGCACATGGGAGGGAACTCTTTGTATTTGAACATCATTTTATGCTAGAGTTTTGAAGAATTTCTTCAAACATTTTCGTGCAACAAATTCTGAAAAGAAAGGGTACATAAACCTATCAAAGAAATGAAGTACAAATTAAATAAATAATAAAATCACGTAAATACACGAATATCGTGTACAGATTTCAGGAGAATCTATCATCTTGCTGAAACTAAAATAATTTCAAATCATAAAAAAGTTCTTATTTTCTATAAAAGCGATAAACTTGTGTTTATAGATTCATATTTACTTTTGTAAAAAATGAAATTATTTAAGACTCTTCAAACAATTTTATCTTAACAGATAATAATCATAAAAGCTAATGTTTTCAAGTAATAAACTTTTTATCAATATATCTTTGTAATGTGACATGAAAATTTACAAAATTAAATATAAATATATGAAATGATTTAAGTAATGCAAACAAAAAAATAAACCATTTGTTCATCAATCACACACACACATACAATGTGTACATATGTGAAAGTCACACATACATCTGGAACATAACAGCATGATATGGTCATCCATTCTATTGTAACAATTACTAAACTCTTCACTAAAGTAACCCACAGTGCACTATCCCTGCTTACATGTTGTACATCAATCATACAAAAGTAACCCACAGTGCACTATCCCTGCTTACATGTTGTACATCAATCGTACAAAAGTAACCCACAGTGCACTATCCCTGCTTACATGTTGTACATCAATCGTACAAAAGTAACCCACAGTGCACTATCCCTGCTTACATGTTGTACATCAATCGTACAAAAGTAACCCACAGTGCACTATCCCTGCTTACATGTTGTACATCAATCGTACAAAAGTAACCCACAGTGCACTATCCCTGCTTACATGTTGTACATCAATCGTACAAAAGTAACCCACAGTGCACTATCCCTGCTTACATGTTGTACATCAATCGTACAAAAGTAACCCACAGTGCACTATCCCTGCTTACATGTTGTACATAAATCGTACAAAAGTAACCCACAGTGCACTATCCCTGCTTACATGTTGTACATCAATCGTACAAAAGTAACCCACAGTGCACTATCCCTGCTTACATGTTGTACATCAATCGTACAAAAGTAACCCACAGTGCACTATCCCTGCATACATGTTGTACATCAATCGTACAAAAGTAACCCACAGTGCACTATCCCTGCTTACATGTTGTACATCAATCGTACAAAAGTAACCCACAGTGCACTATCCCTGCTTACATGTTGTACATCAATCGTACAAAAGTAACCCACAGTGCACTATCCCTGCTTACATGTTGTACATCAATCGTACAAAAGTAACCCACAGTGCACTATCCCTGCTTACATGTTGTACATCAATCGTACAAAAGTAACCCACAGTGCACTATCCCTGCTTACATGTTGTACATCAATCGTACAAAAGTAACCCACAGTGCACTATCCCTGCTTACATGTTGTACATCAATCGTACAAAAGTAACCCACAGTGCACTATCCCTGCTTACATGTTGTACATCAATCGTACAAAAGTAACCCACAGTGCACTATCCCTGCTTACATGTTGTACATCAATCGTACAAAAGTAACCCACAGTGCACTATCCCTGCTTACATGTTGTACATCAATCGTACAAAAGTAACCCACAGTGCACTATCCCTGCTTACATGTTGTACATCAATCGTACAAAAGTAACCCACAGTGCACTATCCCTGCTTACATGTTGTACATCAATCGTACAAAAGTAACCCACAGTGCACTATCCCTGCTTACATGTTGTACATCAATCGTACAAAAGTAACCCACAGTGCACTATCCCTGCTTACATGTTGTACATCAATCGTACAAAAGTAACCCACAGTGCACTATCCCTGCTTACATGTTGTACATCAATCGTACAAAAGTAACCCACAGTGCACTATCCCTGCTTACATGTTGTACATCAATCGTACAAAAGTAACCCACAGTGCACTATCCCTGCTTACATGTTGTACATCAATCGTACAAAAGTAACCCACAGTGCACTATCCCTGCTTACATGTTGTACATCAATCGTACAAAAGTAACCCACAGTGCACTATCCCTGCTTACATGTTGTACATCAATCGTACAAAAGTAACCCACAGTGCACTATCCCTGCTTACATGTTGTACATCAATCGTACAAAAGTAACCCACAGTGCACTATCCCTGCTTACATGTTGTACATCAATCGTACAAAAGTAACCCACAGTGCACTATCCCTGCTTACATGTTGTACATCAATCGTACAAAAGTAACCCACAGTGCACTATCCCTGCTTACATGTTGTACATCAATCGTACAAAAGTAACCCACAGTGCACTATCCCTGCTTACATGTTGTACATCAATCGTACAAAAGTAACCCACAGTGCACTATCCCTGCTTACATGTTGTACATCAATCGTACAAAAGTAACCCACAGTGCACTATCCCTGCTTACATGTTGTACATCAATCGTACAAAAGTAACCCACAGTGCACTATCCCTGCTTACATGTTGTACATCAATCGTACAAAAGTAACCCACAGTGCACTATCCCTGCTTACATGTTGTACATCAATCGTACAAAAGTAACCCACAGTGCACTATCCCTGCTTACATGTTGTACATCAATCGTACAAAAGTAACCCACAGTGCACTATCCCTGCTTACATGTTGTACATCAATCGTACAAAAGTAACCCACAGTGCACTATCCCTGCTTACATGTTGTACATCAATCGTACAAAAGTAACCCACAGTGCACTATCCCTGCTTACATGTTGTACATCAATCGTACAAAAGTAACCCACAGTGCACTATCCCTGCTTACATGTTGTACATCAATCGTACAAAAGTAACCCACAGTGCACTATCCCTGCTTACATGTTGTACATCAATCGTACAAAAGTAACCCACAGTGCACTATCCCTGCTTACATGTTGTACATCAATCGTACAAAAGTAACCCACAGTGCACTATCCCTGCTTACATGTTGTACATCAATCGTACAAAAGTAACCCACAGTGCACTATCCCTGCTTACATGTTGTACATCAATCATACAAAAGTAACCCACAGTGCACTATCCCTGCTTACATGTTGCACATCAATCGTTTCAACAAGGGAATGCTTATCAAAGCAACATTCAAAATATGTCCTTTTTATGATCATTATATGATCTCAAACAAGATACGAACATAGTTTGGAAATTTTGTTTGTTTAGTTTTCTAAGTTCATTCTAGAGGTGTAGTGAGGCAGCATGGTGTCATCCTATTTTTATGAAAAACTTTGTCATATTTCATACTGTATCACAAATTGTGTAAAACGTAAGTGAAAATTTCATTGTCATTTGTAGACTGACAATTCATCTGCTTTCCAAACCACTTTCCATTATGAAATTCCTTGTGTTTGCAGAGATCATAAAATAATCTAAGATTTACCTTTTACACACAGTGTAATACAGGCACAGATATCATACTAGTAAATCGACCAACACTTCATAATTGAGTGGACCCTCTCTAATTTCTGTACAATTCCATAATCATGCAACCACATTTAACTCCAATCTGTCTTTGTGATCAGCTGTTTGGATAATTAAGATTTACTATTTTGTAATACAGGACGTCATACATAGGTTTTGAAGTGCCTATAATTGTTAAAATTTTCACCATACACGCTTTCCTTCTAATTCAAAATCCGAAATGTTGACAGGTTACTTTAGTTGAGAGTTTAGTTACTGTAGAACAGGTATTATTATTGTGAGGTTGAATTTTTTTCTACCCATCTTTTGTTGTTGTGTTGTAAATAAATATTGCAGAAAATTCAATTTGGATAAATTTCCAATTTTAGAATTGTTATGAACAAAAGAAGTGACACAAAGTATACTGCTATTTACAAATATTCTAGCTAAAGCACAGACTTACTAGTAAATATGGTATATATAAATAGTATCACATTTACATGTTAATATGGTTCAGCAAGTTAAAAACTTGAAATATCAATTACATAGATATATTGAAATATAAAAAAAATATATAAATCTGACAAAAATAACCTGTTCTACAGTAAAACTGATCACAATTTATAACAAGCATTGGTCCCATGATGCTTCAGGCGTATCTGATGATTTAGGTATATCCCATGATGCCTCAGATGTATCCCATGATGCCACAGATGTATCCCATGTCTCAGATATAGACCTGAGGCTGCTGACCAACAAATCAACAGGTGACATGTCATCTGCAAGGAAGTGTGACCAGGTAGCTGCCATGTCGACATCAAAGTCACAGAAGAGTTCTTGGTTATCTTCCAGCCCAAAAAGATGTCAATGAATGTGGCTTCTTGTCCTGTGTCTCGATTCGTTAGGTGATCCCCCGAACATAAATTTAAAACTGAAACAGAGACAAAGAAACAGTTATCGCAAAAATAAACAAACAACAACACATCATGCTATCAACAAACAAACACCATGAAAATACTGTTTTCATTATGTAAAAGAAAAGTAGAATTCCTGGAAATTTTTTCAGTCATAACTGACACAAAATTGAAACAATATCAATTTTTAATGAGGCATAATCCGAACAAAACTTTGCCAAATAAATCAAAGTAAGGAGAAAAATAAATGTGTTGATACCAATCATGACAGATAATTCAGCCTCTTGAATTTATACTCAGTAAAAGACATTGTACAATCTTTGAAATCATGCTTCTAGTCAAGTATAATACTGAACCCAGTCTTATGGTCAACAAATATATTCTCTAAACAAAGATATCTTTACGACAAAACATAATATTTTGATTCTCATCTCTTGTTTGTAATCTTTCAATTCCAAAATCTCACCCTGATAAAATGAGTGCCACCTTAAGTACAACAAAATTTAGTGATAACTTTTATCAGGTAAACTGACTAACATTAATCATTATACTTAAACACATTAATATTTCGAGGAAAAATTCTGAATAATCAAGCAAGGAAAAAAATTTCATTTGTTAAAGTACCATTATTTCATCAATTATGGGTGTCTACAAAATTAGTAGCCATACTGGAAATGAACAGGTAGTGATGTTGTTGTAAATTCAAGATTCATAAAAATTCTGAACACAATTCAGTACAATGTAGTCATTATACATACACATACCGATATCATATCTGGTAATAACAGTGCTTTATTAACAAATAGATACTTTATGTCCATTTAATATTTCCAAAGTTACTGTCAGCTACTACATCTAAAAATAAACCAATAGAAGTATTCCAAATCTCCATTGCTGTCTTAATCAGAGTTGAACACACTCTTGTTAAAGTACGTGTACAAAGTATTGTGTCGATGACATAATTAAGCGAAACCTAACTTAACACTATACTTGTGTGAAGACTAAAGAAAAAGTAACAGTTTCTACTCCTGATGTATGGGTGTTTACTTCTCCTGAAATATCAGTCAATACACCATAGTTATCCTTAAGTAAGTACACAGGCCCAGCATACCCATTCTGACAGAAGGTGGGCTTATTACAGGACACAAAAAATACCCTTTTTTGTAGTTCTACTGAATAGCAATAGACATATATGGCTTATTCATTGATCACCAGGCATATGGGCTTATTGCCAAATAATTAGGAAGTAATTTAATGAAAAATAACAGCTAAGATCAAAGTCGTTCTATTGTGTGAATAAACTTTTAGTTTGAATTTTTTTTATACTTATCTAGGTAACATATCTTCACTAATGACAGAAATATTTCCTGGTGATGAAATTACTATTTTTAAACCTCAGATAAAGATGACACCAGCAACGTTTTGCTGACTAATCCATTTAATAACACTCCCTCTAGCCCTGGTCAATTACATGATGGACAGAGGCCAAAATGCATCTGTACCTATATAAAGTAATGGTGACCAGTGGGGTGATGTGGGTTAAGTCAGTAATGGTGACCAGTGGGGTGATGTGGGTTAAGTCAGTAATGGTGGCCAGTGGGGTTCTGTTGGTATGATACACTAACAGAGAGAGAGGACAGTCCCCCTGCTTCTAATGCTACTCAAAGCTTTGATCAATATTTCATGGTTGCTTGTGATATTAGGAGCTGCCATTAGGCTAGCCTAGAGTGACAAAGCAGCACTCTGGAGGAATGGCTGACTGACACAAAGTAATCAATGGTACGATCACATACTCTCATTAAATACACATTCACTCTATTTGACTTCAGCGATCAACAGTCTAACACTTTACAGAGAAATCGTTACAAATAACAGCACTCCTACATCTCTATTATAATAATGGTTATTCCATTACATCTATTATGCTAAACAAGACCATTTCTATTCTTTGTAGTGTTGAGTCTATCTAGTCATCTACTTATGAATCAATACTACATAATCAATTCTGATTTAAAAAAACCCTGAGAAATATCTTTAGTTTAAACACATCAACCCTCTATATGTACAACATTTTCCTCAATAAACACAGAGATATCTGACTCTTCACGTTTAATTATAACAAGTAATATACTGTTCTGGGAACTGTTCCATAATCATGTGACATAATCTTTTCTACCTTCATATAAATTGATTGTGTTGTGCATGCTTAGCTACATAATTACATAATACACATTCCAACTAAAATTCCATTGAAACCACATGTCACACATCAGCAGCCTCACGAGGCAGCTACTCAATCAAATGAGAAAAAAGAAGTTATGATCCTGCTTAGAATGTCACATTACATTCACTGACTAAGTTTCATTAAAATCACACAATATTTCCTTTTTGACTGACCATAATCCAACCATAACAGTTAAAGAAACAAGAGGTCAGGTCATCTGATTATAAAGACCTATATATGAAATAGGTCAAATTGGCCTAAAATAAATTGCATAACTACTCTACACTTACACAGAAGGCATTGTTGATTCATAAAACTATTTCTGCAAACTTGAAATCATATTCTTTGTACTTGCTTCTACACAAATGGCATTCTTTGTGCATGTTACTACACAAATGCTATTACTCCAGACCTATTGCTTGCTGAATAAGAAATTTTAAGACATCAACTCATTTAACCCAAGATATATAGGTCAAGGTCAATAATATTAATAAAACAGTAGCCCTCCACCCACTTATAATGAAAAACCATTAACAACAGCATTTGACCCTGTGACCTTGCAAATGAGCCAAGGTCATTCACTTTAACAAATGTGGTAGCCCTTCATCTCATCATGCTACAGACCCAATATCAGCACCCTGGCCCTTCTAGTTATTGAGAAGAAGTCATATAAAGATTCTAACATATCTGACCCGTGTGACCTTGAAAGTAGGTAAAGATCATTCATTTTAACACACTTTGTAACCCTTCATTTCATCATGCTGTAGTTCAAATATCAGCACCCTAGACTTTTGGTTTTGAGAAGAAGTCATTTGAATGGAATGTTTACATATCACCGTGATGGACAAAACATGATGACTATAGGTCATCCTGACCTTTGTGCTCAGATGACCTAAAAAGCCTTTTGTACTCCACTGTTTAGTTTCATTCAATTTTGACCAGGAAACCTCTACAGTGGGAGGAGGTGGGGAAAGAATAAAAAGTCAAGAACAATAGAAAATGTAACATAATTTCTGTTTGGTCATTTAACTGATATTCATATTGACTGATTTTCACCTTGAACTTTAGATCTTAACCCTGACCTTTACATTGGTCTCTGCTGATTGCTTGTCAATCATTTGAAACAATAGTAAAAAATCTCACAACAAATGGTCATCAGGACTGTTTTAACATTAAAGTAATTTGGTGAATACCTTGGAATAGTAAATTATTCAAAGATTTCCAAGCCCAAATGAGAAAATTGCCAATTTAATTGAGGCTCAAAGTCTTGTAAAGGAAAAGAAAAATGTTGCTGACATGAAAATCCTGGAGAAATGGAAAGAGTGTGTGAACAATATAGAAAGCCCTGCTATTGTAGAAATAACTTTGCTATAGTCATTTTATCATGTTTTAAATGATGAAATGTATTTTGATCGAAATATCTATCTGACAAGACTATATCAAAAGACTATTGATGCAGTCTTTTTTGACCCCCAAATCCATCAAATTTTAAAACCAATAATTAAATTCCTTAATCACAGTGTTTCAAATTAAGAACATTTAATACATGTATGATATTATCATTGTTTTTTATAATTACTGTAACAAAAGAGTACAAACCTGCATCCAGGCCAGTATGATTAGTGGTATTATGCCTCGATCAAATCAAATATATTTCATGGGGCAGACTTAACGTTGTTTCTTTTTTATTATCACAAATATCACCTCTGAAGCAATGCTTTTGATAAACATGCATTCATATTTCATACCGCATGTCTGAAAACGTGTTTCAATCCAATCTAATTACCACTGATTTATTGTAACATGGTTTGACTATTGTGACCTTGATATAAGCAGTCATTGAGCGGCTCTTTCATTTCCCCTCCATGTTGTCATGTTCATTATAACATTTTCATTTCGTGAGCAGATATAACAGAGAAATCATGTCCACTATTTTGCAAGATAAAAAGAAAGTCATATTAAAAAGTGTACTTTACAACAAGAATGGAACTCCTGAAAAAAAAAATCAATGTAAAAAAGAAAAAGGTCCAAGCAAATGACAACCCATCATGCATAGAGGTGAATTGGTGAACCTGATATCACAAATAAAACTGAAACCATGCAGAGTCAGAGACTGGAATCCAGCCACTAAAATAAGGGAAAAAGTCAAATAAAATAAAACTGAAGACAGCAATGAGAGTTAGGCGTGACAGTGTTAGTGTGACACAGTGTGATTTGTGCAGCCCAACAGTTCACTTGTATGTTATAAACATGGAGTTCCAAGGTGAGCTTTAAGACACTGAACATGATACTAAGTAAAGCCTATCTCACATCTAAATGGCAGAATACATTATTTTCAAGAGATCAATGTCAAGATTGAAGTGAAAATAATAAAGAAAATTCCTTATTGTGATGTTATGAATGTCGTATTTAGTGTTCGAACTAGAGGCTCTAAAACAACAAAAATTTCTACCAAGACTTACCAAGAATTTATAAATGGATCCCATATGGATTTTTTTTTCATGAGGATCATTTTAAACACGTTTTACAACAGAAAAATTTCCTGGGGTTCAACAAAATTATGGAAACCATATCATGTCAACCTAGGATTCACAAATGTTTTACTGTGGTGCAGCTCTGAAAGGTCACCTTTGTTTGTTCATTTAATGTACAGATATTTATACACAAGACAACACAACACAATAGTTTTACAATATAATACCATTTTGGGGTAAATGAAACTTAATCTGAGACTTTCTCAAATGTTGTTACAAAAAAAAAACAAAAAAATAGCCCAACATGCCTAAATGTTGTATACACAGAAGGCCAGTTAAGTTACCCATGCTATTTGAAACAGAAAGAGAGAAGATGGGAAAAGAAAAATCACTTTGATATTTAAAAGAGATGATAATCAAAACCAAAGCGGGAAGATGCAGTACTCCACAAGCACAGAGACTACCATGGTCAGACAACATTTAGTCTGTATAACACATACTGTGACAGATGATTATATTAAAGATGGTTAGAAGTCCAACTCGGGCAGATTGAGTTTTTCCACCAGTCCAGTAAAACTGTAAATAGTAAGTATAGCTGTATAAGAGAATGTCAACAAAACCACAGGGCCTGTTCTTTTATGCAGACAAACCAGTGCATCTTTTTTATTTTAAATATAAACATCTGACATTGATCATGAAGGACCTGCAGATATTAAACTGCAATACAGACTTGAAAGTAAAATGTAATCACATGACCCATTTTATTTCAGCCAAAACAAACAACTGTGGACTATTCAGTAAAACTGTTTAAGCCGTGACAAACAAGAATGGCCTGGGTCAAATTTTGTTTACAATGATCCTGTTTACCAACACCAACCTGACATGGTTATAGAGGTACAAGGCCGTGTTGACTGAATAAACACCACCTATTTACATCATATTAGCGGAATCGTCATGTCACTACTGCTTAACTATTTCATTGTACACATATCTTATCTTCAAGAACAATTCATATCTTGTTTATAGTAGAAATCCTGAATTTCTAGAAATTATTCATTCCTGAAATGATAATGTGGATTTCTAAACTTTACACCATTAAACAATATCATCTTCTCCTAATGACAGGATCATTGGCCGATTTTAAATATCCAGTTATCAAAACTATGAAAGAGCCAGTTTTTTCTGGGAAAATGTAAATATTTGTGTGAATCTTTTTTCACTTTGTCATAATGGATTAAAGTAGGACGGACACTCTAAGATCTGTAAAACAATGACAATGAAGTTATACTATCAAAATGAAATGTGGCAGCCATCTTGTTTTTTTTATTAGTGTTAAACTTAACATGTAAAGAACCTATGGTAACTTATCATTAAAATCTGAGAAAAGGTTCTCAAAAAGTATAAGAAACTTAGATAGTAATATTAAACTTCAAATTCAAGATGACTGACTAGAAAAAAAAAGTTCTTCAAATAAGCCTCAAAATTCAACATGTACAACTTCTTCACAAGGAATCTTTTGCATCCCCCAAGTGCTTCAAGAATCAGTTATGAACATATTGTCAAAATGACTCAACTATGGGTAGTCCTCTCATTTTTGTAATTTAATGTAGTTTCAAATTTTAAAAATAAAAAAAGAAAGAAATAAAGAGATACCAACAAGCTTCAAATGAAATTTCAACAAAACATTCTTTCAAGTACCTTTAAAAAACATTATATGGCCACATGTTTGCCAATTCCTGAGCTGTCTCAAAATTAAACATGTTCCACCAGAATGACAATTTGATTCTATCTCAGTTCAAATCATGCAAAACTACAGACAAATGAAAACCTACAGCTACATACAAAAGATCTGAGAAAAACCTGTTAATATTAGTATTAACCACTGGTTGTACATGAAAGACTAATTGTACAGTCAACCAGACAAATGATAGTGGGCTAAAAATTGATACCCATCTTGAAAAGCTGGAAACAGGAACCAATTAAAGATGATAATGAAATCATAAAGAAGTAGGATATACATCTATTTTACATAATGGCTATCATTTAAGATAGAACAATGTCAGTATATAAATTACACATTAACCTGGATAGCCAAGGGTGTTGAATACCTTAAAAAGAAAAGTAACATATTTTCGGGGTTATAAGCCGCACTGGTATATAAGCCACAGAACTGATTTTTACCCATCATTTAAAATTTGATCGACATATTAGCTGCACTCCTTGTCTTACGAAGTGGTAACATTATATTGACAAAAGTTTGTTGATATAACAGACAATAATTAAACTCATTTGGCTTAGGTGCATTCACAGATATAGGGCCTGCCATTACCTACATTGTACTAAACAATCTCTCTATCAGTATCTGTACTGTTAAATGTTAACGAAGGCCCTTGCATGCTGACCAAATCCTTATAGTTCCATTTTTGTTCTTGTAAGTTACATGAAGCCATTCATATTGTAAACAAGCATGGTGGTTTTTCTAGAATTTGACCTATAACCCGATAACTTATCAATCCCAGGATGCAAAAGGCTATTGTAAACTTCTGCTATGGCTCCAAAATAACCATGAAAGTCCAGAAGATATCATTGTGATTCATATTGAAAGAAGATACGATTAATTAAATCAATGAGATGTTATTTGATTTCAATCTTCAAATCTTCCAGTATACAATTGCAAATGACGGTTCTAGACAATCTGTTTCAGTCACAAACACATGACAGGCAGGTACTCGTAAAAAACTCTGTACCGTCTCATACTGGTGTACTGGTACACTTCCTGTCTTTTTTTTTCTTCTTCTTTTTTTCATCCCTTTTTTTTCTTTTTTGTGCACAAATAAGCTGCACTGGTATATAGGCTGCCAGTCATGATGAAAAAAGGTGTGGCTTATTATCCAGAAAATACATCATAAAGCTTAGGTAGAAAACAACGTAAGTTTGAAGAAATCTTCTAAATCCAAATCTCCTATGTCTACAATGTGCTGTGGTGCTGGTGGTCTTTTTTTTCATAATTGGCACTGGAAATCTATTGTCATTTCTTCTATCAAAATTGGGTGAATTTTCTTGTCTATTTTTTGTGGAAGATTACATTGATCCTATCCAGAGATGGTTATACATTTTACACAAATAGAGAGTCAGAAATGACATGAACACACAAGTGAACTGAGGGTATCTTCACACCTTTGTTGCTGTTTTTGTAGTTAAATGGCGCTCCTCACAAATTGCTGGATATCTACTTCACCACTAAATATAGCTACAAGCTTCAAAGTTGGTTCAGTAAAGTAAGGAGTTTCAAAATACAATATTCCATGCTTATTAAATTACATGCAAAATTGATATGAATTATTTCATCAAAACACACATCTAAAACGTCTTCTGTCCTATACAATGTATTTGCAAACATGCTCACTCTCTATTTCCATGTCAAGCTAAGATATGGAAATCCTCAGCATTAATCACTTGTGGTGCCTATAATGTCTGAGGATATCTTCAAAGTCATTCTTTCAGGAAAAAAGTCATGACACCCATCATTCCAATCAACAGATACAACAGGTATACTCACAATTTACGGATTCCAGTCTCGCGTTTGAGGCCTGGGAAAAGTTTGTCATCCGGCTCCCTGTTTATAGGTCCTTGGACAGGTAAGTCTTCCTCACCACTGTAGGAATTCCTCAAAGTAATAAGAGGGATGTTTATATAAACAGATATTGTTACCGTGTGGTCAAAAAAGGTATGTCGTTATATACAAGGGGTAAAATTTTGAAATCTTAAGTTTACATCTTGTTCAATTATCTCTTTTTTTCCCTTGGAATTTGTCAAGATGGAGATCTGTCAGTATACAGATAATGTACCATGTTGACACAGTTAAGCTTAATACCAGGAGGTTTTACATCACAGGAATGACAATACAGACAATACAGCTGGGCAATGTCAGTATATAGAGGGTCCTTATGTGGTCAAAACAAGGTATGTCGTTATATACAAGGGGTAAAATTTTGAAATCTAAAGTTCTCATCCTGTTAAATTATCTCTTTTTTCCCCTTGGAATTTGTCAAGATGAAGATCTGTCAGTATACAAAGATTTTATAAGATGGATGTCGCAACCCGCTGAATTTAGAGAATGACAAATCTACAAAGCCTTAAATGTGAGAGTTATTTACTGAGCTGTATACAGTAAGACTGAATGGCATGTCCAGACATTTCAGTAAACAAGATTTATGTTATAATTCTGAAGTATGTCACAACAATGATGGTACTTATCTGGCTGTAAACAACAACAATATACCAATACATGGTTTACATTGCTATCTGTACATAACATGATAATGGATCTGTATTACTTTAACTATTAATAAAGAACAACATATTTCAACAATTACATCATTAAAATGAATCACATTCAAATATAACCAACAAACAAGGACACAATGACAGATAAATGTAGAGAACGATATTAAAAAGGAAACAGATAGGAGGTAACTTACATTGAGTCAGTAGAGGTTTCAAGGCATGCATTGGCAGGGTCTGGATCAAGTCTGAAGAAAGTATAGGGAACATAAAACATCATAGCCACTCCAAACACATAACAGCATTACGTTAGTAACTGCTAAATAAGAAAACTTTAGAAAGGGTGAAAAAAATTCTTTAATATATATAATTATACAAAAGCAATGTGCTCAAGCTCAATCTAAAAACAAAAACTTTAGTAACACATGAAAAACATGTTTTTATCACTTTTTGCCTGTGAAATACTAGATTACTGACACCTGGGAAAGGGTCCCACAATGTGTCTGATTTTTAATTAGAGCTTGGATTTTACTCTGATAAAGCATAAATGCTTACATGTTTTACAGTATCAAACTACATGTACTCTACTATCAACAAAGTAAATATGTGTTGTTTTATAGAATGGCCTCTCTCTTGTAATTTTTATCCTATTTTACACTCAGTTCAAATCAGATTCAATTTAAAATCATCAGACAAAAATATTTATCTGTTAAAAAAATCAGAATGATCAGGCTTGCTTCCTTTTGATTTTTCTGGGTTGTAATGACATCACTTAATATTTTCGAGTAAATACTGAATATTTTAGGACCTTGACCATCATACCAATGACCTTGACTTTTGGAGAATTCTCATTGATAAATTTTGTTTCATAATGTTATAAAACAACCTCCATCCTGAGAGATACAAAATGTGACCTTGACTTTGAGCCCTTTGACCTTGTCTGTTGACATGGATCATAATGTCATGACAAAGTTTTCACCAGTGAAATATCAAATTTCTTTTACTTTGACCTTTGATCTGGTGACCTTGACCTGTTGTCTGGCGATTTTTCATTTGATTCTGATCAGCTTCGCTACCATAGTGTCACAACAAAATATTTCGGAATAAAACATTTTAAAATTTAGCCTTAACCTTTGCCCTGTAGCCAAAGAAACTTTTCATTGGATTTCAGTCATGTTTGCTTCATCATGATAAAAAAAATTCACTTGTAATTCATTTATATATTGTATCTTTTGACAGTACATTCCCAGTTCTAATTTCAAAACCTTATATCTTGTTTTGACCTTAGAAACTTTTCAAATGCTAATAGTACATTTGCATATCACAGTGTATACTTATGTAAAATTCAGAAAGTTAGACCTACTGTAAAGGCCTTAATATGACGTATTTTTGATGGTATATTTCCTGTAATACTTTAAGTAACAGCAACAATGACCTTGAACTTCAGAACTTTTCAACTCTCTATTCCACATCTACATCACATTTTATCATCATGGGAAGTTTCAGTAAGTTTGGTCTTTAGATTCTGAGATAAAGTTTGAAAGCGGAAGTGCTGGTGGACAAATAAACAGATACAGTGACTACTACAGAGCATCCCCATCTCTATAAACAGCTTAAATAAGAAAAATATCTATATAGTAAATACTTGTATCATCACTGCATCGATGATTAAAATTTTACAAGTTAGTTAAGTTACATCACAACAGCGTGTTTTATATTAAATCATAAGTCAAAATAAACTCAATGTTAATATACTGTATACCACAAGAATCAGTAAACATTAAATAGGAAAAAGGATTAAGATACAACTCTGTCAAACAGGGAAGGTCAAACTATCACAAAACTTATAATCTCTGGAAAATGGTAACAGTTTAGAAAATCTAATCATATCTGACGCTCCTAATTACATCTCCATGATAAGTAAGATGACATGAGGACAGAAAGGCTCCTAATTACATCTCCATGATAAGTAAAATGACATGAGGACAGAAAGGCTCCTAATTACATCTCAATAAAAAAAATGACATGAGGACAGAAAGGCTCCTAATTACATCTCCATGATAGGTAAAATGACATGAGGACAGAAAGGCTCCTAATTACATCTCCATGATAAGTAAAATGACATGAGGACAGAAAGGCTCCTAATTACATGAGGACAGAAAGGCTCCTAATTACATCTCCTGATAAGTAAAAGACATGATAAGTAAAATGAGGCTCCTAATTACATCTCCATGATAAGTAAAATGACATGAGGACAGAAAGGCTCCTAATTACATCTCCATGATAAGTAAAATGACATGAGGACAGAAAGGCTCCTAATTACATCTCCATGATAAGTAAAATGACATGAGGACAGAAAGGCTCCTAATTACATCTCCATGATAAATAAAATGACATGAGGACAGAAAGGATCCTAATTACATCTCCATGATAAGTAAAATAACATGAGGACAGAAAGGCTCCTAATTACATCACCATGATAAGTAAGATGACATGAGGACAGAAAGGCTTCTAATTACATCACCATGATAAGTAAGATGACATGAGGACAGAAAGGCTTCTAATTACATCTCCATGATAAGTAAAATGACATGAGGACAGAAAGGCTCCTAATTACATCTCCAAAATGACATGAGGACAGAAAGGCTCCTAATTACATCTCCATGATAAGTAAAATGACATGAGGACAGAAAGGCTCCTAATTACATCTCCATGATAAGTAAAATGACATGAGGACAGAAAGGCTCCTAATTACATCTACATGATAAGTAAAATGACATGAGGACAGAAAGGCTCCTAATTACATCATATCTCCATGATAAGTAAAATGACATGAGGACAGAAAGGCTCCTAATTACATCTCCATGATAAGTAAAATGACATGAGGACAGAAAGGCTCCTAATTACATCTCCATGATAAGTAAAATGACATGAGGACAGAAAGGCTCCTAATTACATCTCCATGATAAGTAAAATGACATGAGGACAGAAAGGCTCCTAATTACATCTCCATGATAAGTAAAATGACATGAGGACAGAAAGGCTCCTAATTACATCTCCATGATAAGTAAAATGACATGAGGACAGAAAGGCTCCTAATTACATCTCCATGATAAGTAAAATGACATGAGGACAGAAAGGCTCCTAATTACATCTCCATGATAAGTAAAATGACATGAGGACAGAAAGGCTCCTAATTACATCACCATGATAAGTAAGATGACATGAGGACAGAAAGGCTCCTAATTACATCTCCATGATAAGTAAAATGACATGAGGACAGAAAGGCTCCTAATTACATCTCCATGATAAGTAAAATGACATGAGGACAGAAAGGCTCCTAATTACATCTCCATGATTAGAAAAGAGACACCAGGACAGAAAGGCTTTAAATTACATCTTCAGAATTAGAAAAAAAACCGCACGAAGGTAACAGAAAGCTCCTAATTACATCTCCAGGATCAGAAAAGTGACACAAGGTCAGAAAATTCTAAATACATCACATAGATCAGAAAGAGATGATACTTACTTCGGTTTGAATGAAGTAAGTTCCTCTTCTACTTCTATTAACTTTGTTTTCAGCTCATTCCTCTCCATCAACACTGTCCTCAGTTCATTGAGGGTAAATCGTGGACGGTTGGGGTCCTTCATATCTATCACCATTTTGCCAATAGTGCTGAGTTTATGTTGAAGGACAGCCATATTTTCACCCTCTAACTGATCCAGTGATGACGTACCATCCACATTACCCTCAGCCACATCTTCATTCAAAACTTCATCATTCAAGCCCTGAGGTATATTGTTTTCTTGGTCCTCCTACAAATATGGAAATAGGAATTATAATTGTTTATTAAAACATTTCACTCATTAAAAAACAAAAATTTCCAATATAAGTATACTGTTTAAAAGATAGGAAAAAATTATAGGATAGTGTTTTAAAGCTGACAATGAAAGTTAAAAAAATTACATACTGAGATAATTTTTTTTAAATGCTTCCAACACCTCCCCCATAAGCTAACAACATCTTCCAGTCACTGTATCTAAAGAAGTGGCAGACATTTTAATCAAAGCCTTGCTTGGAAACTAAATTAGTATAAAGGGTATAAAAAGCCTGCAACCTGTCAAAGAGGTTATCATTATTTTAATGTCAGCACAATGTGACTGATAGGTACATTGCATGATAACATTAACTCCCTTCCATTTTACCTTCAAAGTGACTGAATAACCTGGAAATGGATGTTAAACGTGAATTGATGACAAACAGATACAATATTATACATATAACAGATATAAACATTTAATTACCTTATGGTTTACACACCTTGACCCCTGCATTTTGGTAGAAAAAACACACAAAATATCAACAAATGAATACCTACAGCAAACACTACCTTGTTTTTCCAGTGTACTGGCATAAATACCTGTGTAATAAGCATGGCTATTTCCACTTATTTCCTTCAGAAAAACAGTTCACTATTCAAATTTCAGACAGTCTAAGAAAGCTCACTACTGTGCATGGGTTTTGCTAGTTAAGCATTTACACAACCAAGATTGAGAAAAAATACACAAATGATAGTCATATGCTATATAGCATTTTTCATGTGTTTCAGTGACATAGTAAAATTGATTTTGTCCAGAGTTTGGTGCAGATCCACATGGTTCGGGATATATGTGATGGACTTCAGGGAGTTTCCTATTTTCAAATCATTATATTTTTTTAATGTAATTTTGAATAGCTAAGAAGTATTGAACAACTTGCATTTAACTTTACTGGCTGATAGTGATAATTGTTTTTAGCTCAGATCGAAGCACATGATCAGTCTTACTGTGGGAGAGACCAGAGTACTGGGTTGCCTAGCTAGCTGGTGACAGACATTTGTGTTACCACTATGCCACCTAACAACCCCATCAACAACATTAATTATTGTCTAATACACTGAGATACTGTGTTCATTTTTTAAAATCAGGGATGTTTATTAGCAAAAACAAGATTTCTAAGTGGCAATCCATGACTAGACTAGGAGTGACCTAAACACTCACCTCTGCACTAGCCTCAGACAAGGTGTGTTTTCGAATGTTGGCCTTTTTCTCCTCCTCAATGGCTTCCTGTTCCTTAATAACTTCAGCGATATGCGTTATCTGTTGTTCCTTGTCTGCTAGTTGAGTCTCTAAGTCCACTTTTTCCTCTAGTAAAGTTTTTGTTTGTTTTTTATGGGTATTGTTCTTTCTTCTTAATTCAGAATTCACTTTCACTATTTGTTCCAATTGTGATTCCAGCTGATAGTAGCAGAGATAAACAAACAAAATGTTTATCATGAAAAATAATCAATACAACAAGAATGAAAACTGTTTATTCTGTAGCATGAAAAGTGAGAAAGCTATTTATTGTTGGTTTTATTTTTTAAGATGTTGATCTTATGTCTGTTTAGGAACAAGATATGAAATATATATATTCTTATATGTTAAACATTCTTATGTCAGCATTTTTCAGATGTTGTTAAATTGACATAAATAGTAAGTTACATCATCTATTATATGGCTTTGTCTTGAGTGAAAATAATAGAATGTAAGTCATCATCTGCAATTATTGATTTCTTTGGTTAAAATAGTGGAGATAACAGTATATCTAGTAAATATAAGGTAGATAACAACACCTAGTAAATTCAAGGGAGATAACAATATATCTGGTTAATGAAGGGAGATAACAATATTTCTGGTTAATAAAGGGAGATAATAATGAAGGGAGATAACAATATATCTGGTTAATGAAGGGAGATAACAATATATCTGGTAAATATAGGGGAGGTAACAATATATATGGTAAATATAGGGTGGTAATATATCTGGTTAATGAAGGGAGATAACAATATATGTGGTAAATATAGGGGTGGTAATATATCTGGTTAATGATGGGAAATAACAAAATATCTGGTTAATGAATGAAGATAACAAGATATCTGATAACAATATATACCATTCGGATCAGATGAACTAAAAATAGGGGGATAAGACAATATATCTGGTAAATATAGGGGAGATAACAATATATCAGGTAAATATAGGGGAGATAACAATATATCTGGTAAATATAGGGGAGATAACAATATATTAGGTAAATGAAGGGGAGATAACAATAAACCAGGGGAGTAATATGTTTGGTACATAAAGGAAAGATAAAACTACCTTTAGTAAGTATACAGGAGATAAAAATACCTCTGGTAAAATTCAGCCAGTAACAAATATCTTCTGCAATTATAGGGGAGATAACCATACCTCTGTTAAGTCAAGGAGAGAGAAATCATCCATTCTACTTACTGCTTCACAATCTGTTGACTTCTCCTTTAGATCTTGTTTTGTTTTTCTTAACTCTTCCCGTTGTTTGTCAACCGTTTCTTTTAACTTCATTAGCACTTCTATCTCTTTCTCTTCTGTCTCTACAAATGAATAGACAGTCCATGACATTGAAAAACATATTCAAACAAGATAACGATGCGTGTATATGTGTATTAAATCAAAAGAAAATATCAAGGAAGTTAACATGAAAAATGTAACCTTTCAGTGCCATAGTAATTTCATTACCATCTAATGATATTATTCAAAGAATTTTTGAACTTCAAAAAATTCATAGTAATATAAATATGTAAATTTTCTATTAATAGACACTCAAGTTTGTGTTGAACCATCTCTATAATCTTATGCAGCAAAGAAGTTATAAACCGATCCCACGTCTTAAGGAATATTCCATTTAAATAATCAAAGATAAACAGAAGGACCCCATTTAATCGGAAAAGAATACCAGTTATAGAGACACAATAGTGCCAACCATTCACACTGAAATAACTGTCAATTCTAAAGATTATCAATGTTTGAACTATGAACTTCATGCATATCTGGTGCAAATAAAAATTTTGTAAAACACTATTTTGCACACAATATGATCTACAGGAACAATGCAAATTAACCAAATCACTGATCTTTACTGACAAAATTAAACTTATCTGATTGACCTACTTTTCGTAACCTGGGCAACCTCATGAGCCATGGTCTGCTGCTGGTCATTGAGTGCATCTTTCATTCGACGATTATCCTCCTGCAGCCGTGACACAGACTTTAATAAGTCATTTGTTTCCTTTCTCCATTCCTCCTCAATTTTCTCCAACTCCTGAATAGGCAATTATATGTACATTTGAACACTCTGTGATAATTATGTCTGTTGTTTTTTGTTTAAAATTAAATGCATGTAGAAAGTAACAGCAGATAGATAGTTTATTATATGTACCCTGTGACCTCCAACACTGAAGTCTAGCTATAGTCTGCCCTTTAGGCAGATTTACAATATTGGCCTGTCTGACCCATCAGAACTTGACCCTTCTGAGTTCTTGATTACAGTCTCGGATGTGGACCAATTGATTAAGTGACTGTCTAACCAAAATTCCTTTAATGACTTTTTGTGAAAATTTTATTCTAATGCTTAGATATAGCTCTGCTGCACTTTTCAACTCAAATAAATCCCCTAAATTCTTACACCTACCAGGAAGATCATAATCAATCAATTGGTACATAATCTCTTACTCTATCTGGTAGTATCAAAGTTATTTCAGTTTGGTGATTTGAAATATTAAACTTATGTTTTAATATACAAGATAGGAGAATGCTTATCACCATATTGCATTAAGTGGCCAATGGTATTAGTTCTAACCAAAACCAACAACAAACATACGTTATTATATATACATGCTAAACTACATGTACATGTATGTATCTGGTCATTAATCTGTGATCATCTGTCCAGAATGCCCTCTAGCACCTGATGGTTGAGATTTTATCAGACAGATTGCAAACCAGACATTTGACATTTTGATAGGCTATGTCTGGTATACCAGACATCTGTCTGTCAAATCTGAAACTCCAGCACAATCTGGTACAAATATAGAGGTAAAACATCTATATAGAAAAATTAAATTGTACATCCTAAGCTGACTATGACTTATGTAAAAATCATCTTTATTTTCAAAAGGAAGTTCAAAATTATCAGTAGATAAATAATTTGTTTAAACTACTTGACTAATCACTGATTGCAGGGACATAATATGGATGGATAATAACATGAGCCATGAAGCCTGCTCTTCTACATATTGTTCTCTACTGGTAACATTATCTACATATGCCCTAATCATATCTTTGCTGGCTGGAATGACAACAATAATGTATAAATATTGATGAATTAGATTGACCAATCATACAACTGACACATTTCAATCAATTTAAAGATGATTTTCTTCAAATTTTGGGCTGAAAGTCTTCAACATAGGAATGTATTTCAGTTACAAATATACAAAGTTACAAAAATACAAAGTAACAAAAAATGACACAAATTTTGTTATAAATAAAGAAAATGAACAGAAATCACTTGTCACAAAAGTGAGCACAATCAATTTAAAAATTATTAAGCTTTCTACTAGTTTTTATTTTGAATAAAATAGCTATGTACTTTTGGAGAAAAATAGTTTTCAAACACAATAATGCTAGTAAACTTATATTTCTTCACTACTGTCATACAAAGAAATATAAGCAATCTCTTGTGAATCCATTTACGAACCTCTTCATATCGCAGTCTTTCTTGTTGTTTTTCATTTTTTTCTATTTCAAGTTTTTCTATCAGAAATTTCAAATCTGAAATCTCACTAGTCTCTTTTTCATATCGGGCAGCAAGTGTCTCTAATTGTTCTAAAGATTTTATAACTTTAGGCATTAAATCTGTCACTGCATCAACGCCATATCCTTCGATCAATTTTTCGAATTCTTTTCCAATCACTGCGGCTTGGTCGTACACATCTACCACAGATATAGTCTCTATTGTTTCTTCTGCCATTATATCTCTTCTTTCGATATAAGGCTCCATTTGATCGTCAGCATCATACGATATGTCCTCCTTTATGTGAAAATGTCAAAATCCTTCCTCCTACAAGCACCTGACTGACCGACCCATCGATTCGACCAAGTAGCTGAAAAGCTTTGAAGTATTACGTTATTAGATGCGTTCAAACGTTTCTATGTCGGAGACTACTGAAAGTGTCACGCCTTCTATTTATAAATAAGTCTTTCGGAAATGTTCTAGATTGTACATAACGAAATACAGATCTGTCAAAAGGATCTGTTCGGTAATGTCTACTTTTTTCGTTACATATTTGCAGACGTTGAAAAAACGACCAGGACATGATCAGAATGCAATATTGAAAGCATCTTATTACCAATCATGATTTTATGTTAATATTTTTTTATTGCTTTTCCTCTTTTAAGTTAAAAGTAAAGTTATTGAATAAAATTCGAAAATTAAACAGGAAATTTTGTTTGCCGCGTTTTTGCGCCTGCGCAGTCGGTAACTTTACGTGGCATCCTGTTGCGTGTGGACATACGTGTTGTCACAAAACCGGTACAGTTAGACAAGATGAACATTTTATCAAATTTCTTGGCAGTTCTAGTCTCTCTGATATCAATTAAATCAATAGAATGCTATTTCGTAAGTATAGATGCACATGCTGAAGAATGTTTCTTCGACAAAGTGACTTCAGGGACGAAAATGAGCCTGATGTTCGAGGTTGCCGAAGGTGGATTCTTGGATATTGACGTGAAGGTAATTAGTAACACAGAAATAAAGCAAGATAGAAAAATAGTCAATAATCAGAATCTTCGTATACACAAGTTCATAACAGAATATTTGGAGGTGCGTCATTACCTTATTGTTGTCGAGAGGTCCAGGGAGGTGAATGCTTGTTTACTTGTGTTTACTAGTTTTGTACCTGCCTACAATACCTATTTGTCCTCTATATATCAGAAATATATCTTGTGAAGCCACTGTTTATTCCGGTTACTGGTCCATACTCTATATTAAAGTAATATATCATGGGATGATTTTCCCACAGTTCCATCTGTTTTCAAATTGATGCACGTTTGTAGCTGTTATCATGTTATCTGGTAGGCTGTTCAATACATCAGTTACTCAGTAGGTAAAGCTGGACTTTCTTAGATTTTTCCTGTAATTGCATTTCAAAAATATAAAGTGCTTAGATTGTCGTTCGTTTGTAGTAAGCCAGTCGTTACACTCTTGTTGCACTACTCTCTTAGAAACTTAAATACATCAATCATATTCCCTCGCATACCACTGAACTTTAAAGATGATAGATTCATCATTTGTAATTTTTCTTTTTATTCATCATCATTTAGTACCATATATACTCAAGCAAATAAGACCTGCACTTCATGACCAGAAAATGTTAAACTGCAAAGTTAAAATATTAAAGGTTGGAAACTATTCTTATAGTCCAGAAAATGTTAAACTGCAAAGTTAAAATATTAAAGGTTGGAAACTATTCTTATAGTCATTATGGTGTTACATTTCATAGATAGGACTATTGAGCTGCATGATCAATTAATTAGCTAGCATTTGATGCAGTGCTATCCATGATTTGTATTTAACATAACTATGAGCGTGATAAGTAGTTGGATGATGGCCACTTTACAACAGTCATGTAGACAGGGACTTGTAATAAGCTTCTGGGAGAAGAGGGATTGTATGGTATACTCTAACTAGTGAAGGGGACCAAAAGAGACAAATTCATAATGAGTGAAAGATGTGTAAATTTAGTTTGTATTTTTAGTCGTGTTTTCCTTATAGGTAATTTATTTGTTTTCATTATGGTATCATAGATGTAAAAACTTTGACCAAATACTGATGACTTTTCTAACTGTGACAAATTTCTCTCTGGTATTTCATTGATCCCCGTAATGAGTTATAGCATACTGTGCTTAATTTGTTAAGTATATTGTCTTCCTAGATATACGGCCCGGATGGAAATGTTATTCATCAAGGAGACAGAGAATCCAATGGCAAATACACATTTGCTGCCCATATGGATGGTGTGTACAAGTACTGCTTCAGTAACAAGATGTCCACCATGACCCCTAAAATTGTCATGTTTACCATGGATCTAGGAGAAAAACCAAAGGAGATGGACACTGCAGACACAGATGGTGAGGGTCAGTGAATAGTTGATCTAATTTGTAATCTTTCAGCTTATCTTTGGATTGGCATAATACCTTGTCTTTCCTTTTGAAAATTAGATTAAGCAAAATAATTTGTCACAGATGTTCACAAAATGAAGTCTTTTCTTAAAGAAGCAGCTGGTAAATTATTCATTATTCAGGTCTGATACAATAACATTTGACTGATTTCATATAATTGAGGCATAAATTATGTATATATACAATGTAATGTAAACAAGAATAAGTTAGACAAGTGAGTGAATGAAGGGTCTACAGTAGGGAGCATTGTAGCCAGAACAAAGAATGTAAAATACTGGTAGTAATTGCTCATTCATGATTGAGGTGTAGATAACATGTTCTTATATTTGAAGAAGGTTAAGTGCACTGACATTTGAAATGTTCACATGAATGAAATGTATGGTTAATATAGTAAGGAATTCAAGGAATTTTAATTTTTACTCCGCTAATACATCATTATAAATTATTCATGAGGTGCTTCAAGATTTACGAATAATTTGGGGGGGGGAGGTGTAAAATTTCTAACTTATCACTCCAAACTGATCTGTAGACATGATTAGTATAATTTTGACACTGTTTAAGACTAGAATTTATCTTTTGAAGACTTTCAGGATCTTTTGCTCATATATTGCGCATGTTCTTGATATTTTCAGCAAATCACCAGAAACTTTCAGAGATGATAAATGAGCTGTCAACATCCCTCACTGGTGTCAAGCATGAACAGGAATACATGGAAGTAAGGGAGAGAATCCATAGAGCAAGTAAGTGGAGCTTTGTATCCCAAATCACTTCTTACAAAATATTGTTATAAAACTTTACTTTAGTTGTGCAGGTTTTTTTTAATGTTTAGCTTATGCTGCCCATGAAATCATATCTTACAATGTCGTTGAAATCGTCATATCTGATACACATTATATTAACAATTTTGTAAATCTGACAGTTGTTTTTATGTAAATAAATTGTTTTTTCTTTTGTTCCAGTTAACGACAACACAAATTCCCGTGTGGTTCTATGGTCATTCTTTGAAGCTTTGGTGTTAGTAGCCATGACTCTAGGACAAGTATATTACCTCAAAAGATTTTTTGAAGTACGACGAGTTGTATAGGAAGCAGCTATTAGATAGGAAGATCACATAAATAAGTGCCCTTTTAGAACAGTGATGTCATGACAACCATATGGCTATTTCACTTCGCATGTTTAATACTTCAAAAATATTTAGAAAAATTGTGAAAGGACTGTTTAGGGCTCGTTTTATGAATAATAAAAGGGAAAAAAATGATTTCAATCAATTGTGAGTAAGTACAACAAGCCTCATGGTGATTCCATCATGGACAGGACAGTGTGGGTACAGCTTAAAAAGCTTTACTTTACAACAGCTGAGTGTATAGCGGGGAATTTCATTTATGTGCTTAATATGAATTTGTTAACGATACCAGTATTAAGGAAATTTCAAGGATTTTCTAGAACTTTTTCTCATAATTGATATCCCAGAGAATAGAATTTCCAATCTTTACCACACCGGTAATCTTATGAAAGAATGTGTACTATAATATCTCCCAATAGATGCTGTGCATTTCTGAATATTGAATTATGGTGATGCTAATTATGGTGTAGAGGATGATTTAATGCTATTGTCTTCCTTCTACACATGGCTACTGACAGATTCAATATACAGATTTGTTACACCCCAGACTGACAGATTTCTACAGAGGACATCTGGTTCATACACAAGAGAAATAGATCATAGATGTCTTTGCTTAATAACTATGTTCATCTGATGGTTATTGGTATGTTCCCCACAAAATGATATGTTTTAATTAAAATCAGCAGTAACATACATTTGTACATGGTCAATTTATTTTTTCATTTATATGTATCAAAATATCATGATGTAAATTACAGAGATTTTAGATATTTAAAGAAATGTGTATTAGTGCTAGTCATAGAAGTTTTCTAGAATTCACATTCAATATATATTTAAAGGGACATCACAGTTAACAAAACATTAGAAATTAAGTGAACATAACAGGTATGATACCCCCCAAATATATGCCTTAATTATATTTCATTGTTAAATATAGTCCATTTTGAATGTCTAGTGTGAATATTCAAGTTTAATAGGAAAGCCCTCAAAATATAGTCCCTATAATACCGCATGACAAAACAAGGCAGCCATGTTTGTAAAATGATGGTTGAAGCATTTAGCAATGACAGCTGTAATGAAGACTGTTATAATATACTTAATTAGTAATGTCTGTTCCTATCACATTATTGGTAACTTAACTTTTATTAGGTACCATCAGAATTTCCCCTTCTGTGGCCCCCCTCGAAATTCCAGAGATTTACATGTAGGCTAAGTAATAATTATGTTGTATACAACGATGTAGAACAAATTTGACGATTGCTTGTTCCAATTTGCTTTTCTAGAACAGTGGCAATTTATGACAATTGTTTCATTATTTGAAATATTTTAAACTGCCACACTAAATTCCTATTGTAATCCTTGGATTATCTTAGAACCATATGGCAACTCTTTGTTTTGTAGCTAATAATGTCTGTTTTTGTTTGTCACATCATATAGTAACAAGATTTTCAACTTGTGTACACTGTACTGTCAGTTCCTGATGAGATATGATGAGATTGTCGAGTCCATTTTATGTCATTAGAAGACAGGTTACTGTTATTGTGTAATCATTTCTTGTTTTAGACTTGTTTTTTCTGGACCGTATCTGTTTACACAGAATTTAGGAATAAAAGAAACAAATTCTTACTTCACTGTGATGTCCCTTGAGGTTTTTATTCATTTACTAGTATTTGAAGAGAATACACTACTTAGAGTTCAATATTTTTCTGTTAAGGAAATAAATTGCCAGGGTGATTTGGTTGTTGCATAAGAAGCATGTATGATTATGTATGTACAAGTAATGCCTTTGAAGTGACAGCTGCTAGAGGACATGTCTGATGTAAAGCTGTACTGGTCAGTTGGTAGCTGTACTTGTCAGTTAGTGGATTCTCTCAGTTTGAAAGATTTCACTATTTATTTCCTATTTTCTTTAAATTATTTTATGCTTTATTGTAATAATCCTTCAATAAAACATTAATTGTTGATATCAAATGTTATAGGTTTGGGTGTAGTAGAATTCTTCAGCTGGCAGGTTGTCCCTTATCCCTCCCATGCCTTTCCCCTCACCCTTCTTCCCCTACATCCATCTTTCATCTTGATTACATACCTTTCCTTCTAGTTTATGTCTGCTTTTGGGATGCAGTGTATATCTTTGTGGTTTTAAAAGTAAAGGGATCCATTTGAATGATGCTAGAAAAATCCCCAAACCCCATTTTGTGTGTATGTATAAAAAAGATAATAGAGTACAAGGTGTGTATGATAGTGAAACTGAATAAGTCCACTGGGTGTGGATACAAAAATAATTCAGTAATAAAAATGTAGCAAAATTCTTATGTATCCATTCTTTAAGGAAAGTATGCATACTTCATTTTCCCACTATGAGTGATAGTACTGTTGGTGTTGAAAGTTTCTTTAGAATCTTTCAGGTTTGTTTGTATGATTGGTGAGTGCAGATGGTAGAAGACTGATCAAGTGAGATTTATGTGTTAAGAGACAAGCTTAGGAGTGAATGAAGGAAAATGTACATAGTGAAACACTCAATAATTCTGAAAGTCTTAGACTATAATTTCTTTGATGTATAGTTTTTGGAAATCACAATGTCTTCTTCATTGATTGTCAAAATGTAACATTTGATCAAAGTTTAACATTGAAAGAATATTCCAGATTACTATTAGGAATTATACTTCTACAATTCAAAAGATACTCTCTGTTTGATTATATGAGTACTGAAAGCCCTCTGACTTCACTAATGCTCCATCAAGCAAGTTATAACTGTGATTGAAAGTTAGATAATGCACGCATTTCTGATTACTAAACTTTAAAAAATTTATTTTGAACTTTGAAACATATTTTCATAAAATGAATTGGTAACGAATTATTCAAATGATCATTTTTTTATTGAAAATTAGCACTGCCAATGTACTTTCCAAACTTATATCTCTATATGACATTTGACTATTAGAAACATCAATCACCTTGATATCAATATTTCTTATGTGATATGAGGAATGAAGATTTTGTGTTGAGTGCAAGAATTAACATTCGTTTGTATATTAATGATTATAATAAGACAAATATATCATTGTCCATGTCCAATCTATGTCAAAGTTCTCGGTGCACATTTTGATTCCATTTTGCGGGTGTGTTTTCTCCAAAGAGTAAAATAACTTAAATCTTGAATAAAAATTTTTAATTTCATCTCAAAAATCCAGTGTTTATTTTTATCTAACATCATCAATAGCTTGACTGTCCAATCACCATTTTCCCATGATCTGTCATCTGTCTGACCTTATACAATTTTGTCACATTTCCTCTTGAAGTAGGTGTACCAGGTGAACTTTTCTCAAACTGCTTACATAAATATAAGTTCTCTTTGTGCAGAAATAATTTTAAATGTCAAATGTAACCATACACATCTAGTGTTAAAGATGACCCTTCCAATTCAATAATTATTGAGAAATAGTAATAACAAACTTTTGTCCAATTCCAAGACGACTGCCTGTTAGCGATCTTGTGATGTATAGTTAAGGTATCCCCCCTATACTTGAGGTTCATCAATATTGCGACTTGTCAGCCATTTTGCTTTCCCTGTCTGTCCCAAAATACCATGTACAGCTGGGTGGGACCAGACCCCAGGACAAATTATCAGTTATGATTGTATTTATTTCCTGATGCTCAGCAATGCTATAGTTATTCAGTGGGGATCAAAACTGTTTTAAAGAACCAAAGATCCAAATGAATGGTTAATGATACAAAGAGGACAATATCCTGCAATTCCTGAAGAAGATAGATTTTACAGAAATTGATCATTTTTCCCTATTGGGGCCCCACCCTTTGGGTCAGGTGAATATGAAATCTGATACCAAACAAACTTTCCATTACAAATGGCTGAATAACATATGTGTAAATTAGCTGTGTATGTACAGAGAAGGCAATATTAACATATGAACTTGTCTCAATTTGTGATCTCTACCACAGGATGAGATAATATAGTTGTTAGAAATCAATGGTTCTATAACTTCTGAAAGGTAAATGATTTTGACATCATATCTGAGGTTATAACCTTGACTTCAAATTAGGAAAGGAAGACTTACCACATTAAAGAAGATGATGTTTCAAGTGTCCAGTCTCCATATTTTTATCACATTCATCCACAAAAACTCAGCATTTTCAGAAAGATGAATCAGTTAATGCCATGTCCTTCAAACCCAATGCTACTTATTCTATTGAAAAGATGTATATGTTTCTAGGTTTGGAAACTATCTGATTTTTAGCCCACCTTCAGATGTTGATATCAATCTGCTCTTAGTCCATTGTCCACTTATCCTTAAACCATTATCATTATTATTATTTCTTCAGGAGAATCTCAATTTCATATTCATATGTCTCCACTTGTGCATTCATGTTTGTCATCTCTATTCCATGATGTGGAGGGCAGGGAACTTGGTGTCTTTCTAAAGAGGTTTTTCAATGAGCACAATTGCCCATCTTCATGGCTAAATTGAGCAGAAAAGCATACTTGGTGACAGACAGCCATCTTGGATTTAGTTTCTGGTCATCATTTGAGCAATGTCAATTCTGTTATCAATTTAAAAAGTAGGATGATCTCTGGAGTAAACTGGCTACAGAAAGCCATCTTGGATTTAGTTCTGGATCTTAAGTTGTGTATATTCAATTTTGTGAATAAGTCCAACAAGAGGCCCACAGGCCTTAACGGTCATCCAACTATAAAGACCTATATATGAAAGAGGACAAATAGGCTTGAAATAAATTGCTCGCCTATTCTACACCTTACATAGGAGATATTGTTGGTTTATCCAGACATTTTCTGCAAACTTTAAATCATACTCTTTATACATGCACTACACCATTGCAATTACACTGCACATATTGCTTGTTGAAAAAACAAGCTTCTGGCCTAACATTAAGACCATTGGCCTTTCGGTTATTGAGAAGAAGTTGCTTAAGCATTTCAACACCTTTGACCCCTGTGACCTTGAAAGTTGATCCAATATTAGTACCCTAGGGCTTTTGGTTATTGAGAAGTCATTTTAATACAATTGATACCTGTGACCTTGAAAGTGGGTCAATGTCATTTATATTAACTGTCTGGCTCAATTTCATCAACCTGGGCTTTTTGGATATTGAGATGAAGTCATTCAAAGATTTAAGAATATTAGGTACGGGTGGAATCAACTTTCTGAATTTAAGAATTCATTTCCAACATTCCATGATGTTTTAGAGTAAATATTGTTGATATACATTCAAGCATTAAGAAAAAGAAGCATTTTACTTGACAATTAATTTTCCCTTTTTGGGCTCAGCCCGCCCAAAGTTCCTCAAGGGTCTAATCAACTTTCTGAATTTGAAAAATATTTTCAAACTCTTAATGATGTTACAGACAAAATCTGAATGAAACCCATTCAAGTATTAAGTATTCAAATATGTTTTGAATCAAAGTATAGTCTAACTACCCTTTTGGGAATTTGCCAAGGGGTCGGATAAGTTTTCTGAATTTAAGAAATAATTCCCACTGATGAATCAGGCCAAAGCTTGTTGAAATCCATTCAGGCAGAAAGGCAGAGTAGGGTTTTAAAGCTAATTTCAGTACCTCTGCCTTAAGGAAACTCCTCAACCTCTAGGGTCGAATAAAAAATTTTCTGCATGATTACCGTCATCCAATGATGCATCAGATCATATTTGGTTGAAATCCACCATGGCATGAAAGAGGTGTAGGGTTTTAAAGGAAAAGTTTACCCACAATGGATGGCAAATGGCCCATAACAATGGATGAAGCACAATGGCTATGGGTCACCTTGACCCTTCAGGTCAGATGTCCTAAAAATATAATCTGAGCTTTCCCTTGTTTATCCAAGTTATCATATTATTAATTCACTTGTCAATACCCAATACAAGATAACATAAAGACCAAATAAGAGAAGAGCAAAGATGAGACCTCATGAAGATCATTCAATTATGGGCTCCAAGATCCTCTGGGATCACTTGTTAAAACAAGACATGGAAACCAAAGAATTTTAAACAAGTACCCAGGTCTATCCAAAATATGATTTCACCAACAATAGCATAACAATGACTTCAATATCAATCAATCATTTAATCATGGACTATTATACAAACAAATTAAATTACAGAATTTATACACTCTGATATTTTTTTTTTTCAACCATTTACATCGCATTGTGTACAATTGGTTAATTCTTTTGTTTTGAGGCTATTTAGATTCTGAACACACATAAACTACAATGAGTAAACCATAAGAATGAGTAATCAAACATAATGAAATTATCAATGTTCTTCACAAAGAGTCCCAATATTTGTTATACAAATGTCAATGTAAAATTGTGTGCACACAAAAAGCAGACTCAAGTTTATTTCATATGTAAATTTTTTAAAGAATTTCATCCAAACACCTAAATTCTTCATTCTACATTCACTAACACTCTTGGTTCACCTCCAGTGATTTACACACCTGTTGGTTCAGCCTCCAAATATCCACTGATTTACACACCTGTTGGTTCAGCCTCCATCTCTCAACTCACTTACACACCTGTTGGTCAGCCTCCAGCTGTGATTATCTACACACACTTAAACATCGTACTGTTAAGACTCCATCTCTACACCACCTTCACTTGCTGGTACACCTGTCTGATCTGAAATGTTCTGTTTATGCAGTTGTTTGTAGATCTCAAACATCATCACACTTCCAGCCACAGCTGCATTCAAGCTTTCAACACCATTAGTCATAGGTATCATAATACATTGTCCGTACATGTCATAAGTTAATTTTTGAGCCTCCAGACCGACACTAGGACTCTTGCCACTTATCACCAGCACAGTGTGATTGTTTCTGGTGTAGTCTAAATCTGAGAAATAACTCACTGGCAGTGGTGCATGTCTGTATTGCTTCACTAAATCTGGGTTTTCAAAACTTGTGTTTGAAACTAGATCTGATTCTGGGTCATCTTCATAATCATTTTCTTCTTTTCCGAGTGAATCAGCAACATTGTCATGGTCCTCCGGGTCAGTATAGTTTTCTATTCGTTTATTTGTCGGGCGTCGTTTGTCTGTCAGGTAAATGCGGGCTCCTACAGGTATGTAGTTCTCCACATAGTTCCAGGTGATGTTGTGGTAGATAGGTACTCGAAAATGACAGCCTGTTCCAGCCCTCAACACTTTGGGTTCCCAAAGATCAACACATTCTGTCAACATGAAAACCGACATTATGGTTTGCCTTGGTGATAGATGTTCTGTAAAACTTTGATATTTTAAAAAATTTAAAATGTATGTCAGTTACATTATTATCCTTTAACCATTATTGACTCAAAAACAGACCTAAGGTCCCCTAGATGAAGAAGATAAACACTATAAACATCTGGCCACTGGTGGGTCATCAAAAGGCAAAGAAGCCCTCTTGTGGCACTCCCATGTATAAATTTTCTAAATTTCTGATGAAGCCCAGGTTCAGGTAAAACCAGACAACATATCAATAGATAAGAATAAACAATGTATCCCTGGCTTGTTGCGATCACTGCCTAATTTGTTGTTTTTCAATTAATCCAATCGCCCTGCATACCCAGATGTATCTAATCAAGGGATACAAGGAACAAACCAAACTCTTCTTAAAAAATGGCGTAGGCTCCACCCTAGTATCTACCGTGTAAATTTTCTTAATTGATATACAATATACATTATCAAGAAAATTGAAGCAGTTTCACTTGTTAAGGCATCTAGCAGATAGATACAAACCAATTCAAATAACTGAAATATTTTCAAAAAAAAAAAAGTTTTCTGTTTTATCATGGCATACCTTGCATGACAATGACTTTCTCACATCCCACAGCAGCTGCTGTTCGAAGAAGGGTGCCCATGTTTCCAGGGTCTCGTATCTGGTCCAGAATTATACTTAATGGAATTGTGGTTCTCGGTTGTATAAATGTCTCACCATCCTCAGGCATGTGAAACAATGCTGGAAGATATGAAGCATTTAGCACATTATACCACAATGTAAATCCCACAGAAAATCAATTACAGAAGAAAAAATATTATGATACCAATATCTTACATTGGACAATATCCTAATTAACATGTTCTTTACTTAATTTATATAAGGAATATTCGGTAAAAAATATCATAATAAGTGGGATATCATAATAAGATATTTTAGATATAATAAGTGAGTTTCATCATAGTTTATCCTTATACAACATTGTAAAGGGTGTAAGTTCGTTGATTAAGATAATGGAATAAAACTGAAAAAATACATTGAAAACATCATTGATAAAGAAAACAATGTGTTTTATGATGTTATAGAAAGTTACATCATTTTTGCCTTCAAGCAATTATATCTGAACTATCAATCTATACAGAATCTGGTATCACTGAAATTCTGACCTCTGGATCAGAGTGGGCAACAAAAGAATACATGATAACACAGGACAATTTTTCTTTTCCAAACTAAGTTAATGTCAGACAACAAAAGGTTCTTTAGCATACTTGCTCTATTTGTTTTGTAAAAAACTGTTAGTCTTCAGACAGAGATGCTGGTCCATCACTTTAACAACCTTGTAATTTCTACGTCAATCTTATAGTGTTTTTAGCCCTTTTGATGAAATGATAAAGAGCTACAAAATCTAAGACATCATGCCCAAAATGCTTCATAACATGACTGGCTCCATGTATAGAATCCTGACACACTAGTATTAGAAATACAGAAGTTAACTCTGATAATAGACTTTCCTGACACACTAGTATTAGAAATACAGAAGTTAACTCTGATAAAAGACTTTCCTGACACACTAGTATTAGAAATACAGAAGTTAACTCTGATAAAAGACTTTCCTGACACACTAGTATTAGAAATACAGAAGTTAACTCTGATAAAAGACTTTCCTGACACACTAGTATTAGAAATACAGAAGTTAACTCTGATAATAGACTTTCCTGACACACTATTATTAGAAATACAGACGTTAACTCTGATAATAGACTTTCCTGACACACTATTATTAGAAATACAGACGTTAACTCTGATAATAGACTTTCCTGACACACTATTATTAGAAATACAGACGTTAACTCTGATAATAGACTTTAGACTCAAACAGAATAATAACATGTAAATGGAAATGACACAGTTTGGAAGTCTCCGTAAATAACTCTACAGAATAAACAGAAAGAGAAATCTGTCTAAAAGATATACTTATCATCCCTTCAAATGCTTGATGTTTAGTTTTGTGATCTTTCCAGTATCAAGGAAAGAAAATTGTCCCTTAGCTGCTTACCAATAATAGCTCATTGGATCTGTTTTAGCACACATTTAATTACATAAAGACTATTTAAACATTGAACAATCTTGTTATGGCATTCATATCTGCTATAAACGTCATTTATTTCAATATGGTGTGTTTTCATGTAAAACACAGGTTTTAAGGTTGTTATGAATGACAATGTATATGTATTGTGTTGGGTGACTTTTGCTAGAGTAATTCTACTGAATCACGTGACAGATCCACTTATTATCTATTACCACAATGTATGTAAGGACAATATCATAAAAGATATAAAGGTTTGAAGCACAATACGTTTTTTTTTAACTTTTAACAAATTTTCATTACATATTATGACAAGATGACATCATAGATGATAACACAAAATAATGACAAAAGACCTTTAACAACACCGCAAGGAGAGCAACATAATTAAATGAGTTTGTTGTGGTTATTAATGTCGTCAAGTTTCCTTCTAATATTACTATATGTCGTTAAAAGGGTTGCTTATATATGACTTTATTTTATTGGAAGGACTAAAAGGTCAAAGAACTAGTAAAATATAAGTTATATAGTAACATTAATTGGTATCATGATTAGTGTAAAGTATAGACCTACAGTGTACAGTAAAGACAGTGTACATTATAGACCTACAGTGTACAGTATAGACCTACAGTGTAAAGTATAGACCTACAGTGTACAGGTTATTACATTACCTGGTATCACAAAGATAGTGTACAGTTAAGGCAAACACAGAATACAGATTATTACAAGAATGAAACTTACCCATAATATCAGAAGTAGATGTCATGTCCGACCAACTGTTCATTTGCCTTTCATCACATTTGTACACTGGAACTTGTTCCAGATATTCTTTTGGCAATTGCTGTAATGCATTAAAATCTTTGAAATAAACAGATTTTGGCCTTCCACCTGCTTTAAAAGCATCTGTTATCAATCTGCTCCCTTCAAGTAGAATAGTTCTGTCATTTTCACGAAGCTTCTTTGATCTGGCAGCCCTCATCAGTACACTGAAATCAATAAAAAAATCAAACTGATTATCAAAATACCATGAACATGTACAATATTTAGAATAAAGGATTCAAGATGTTGCACAGACAAGGTATGAAAAAAATTTCATAAAATAAGTCATTGAACACTTGTACTGAACCAATTTGTTTCCAAACAAGTTAAAAAAAACTATCAATACTGATTTGGAAAGTCTAACATAATTCCATTTCCAACTTCACAATTGTCTATAAACTCCATGTTTGATACCCATCTCTGCAACTAACTACAGTGATATGCCCGGTATATATTGACCCTACACCCTGCTGTATGTAGAGTGGTGTAACAAGGCAGATACCCTGGGGATGTAGTGGAAAAAGAAGGGGGTAAGCCTTGTAGTTTTTGGTTGCCTCGGTATCCATGATCAATGATATTCACTGACTGTCATGATGTGTGCAATCTAGTGTAAGCTTCAGACCACTTCCAAGTGGTACATGGGTTCAAGTTGCTATGACACTGAGGCTGATGTCTGATGGGTTAGCTTTTTCTTCATTTATCGCATATTAGTTTTACCATCAATGGTACAAAAGCTCACATTGTTTATCACTAAACCTCAAACTAGCATTGGGGGATGGTTTTACCAAGTGGATTCTATTTTAATAGGAAATAATGTCTTTCAACACTGGCAACAAGAACTTGACATCAGATTAGATAAGATTTATAAAAGTCTCCTGGAAAGTAATAACTATACCCACAGAAACCCCAAACAAAATATCAGTACCCTTGTATACTTAGAAATGTTTATATATAAAGACGTTTACTGACATTTTTCAACACTAATACCAAAAACTGAACACCAGATTTGACATAAAATGTATAAGTTACAAATGTTCAAAACAAAAGGCCCAATGGGATTGCATCCCTAACATGGTAATCAATGTTTATCAAAAATAAAATCAATGTTCATCTCAAATATTTTAACATGCACATCATTGCCATTCAAAGTGGGCACATCCAATCAATTTTAACCAATTTTCATAGCAAAATAAAATACTCAACTCTATACAGTGACAGTTATCACCTGGATCATAGGTAAATGTTACTTCCTTTTCTTTTCTAAATTTGTCCTAAAAACACCTTTCAAACAAATACCCTGGTTCTCGACTTTTGGTTTACCAGAAGAGTCTTTTATGGGCTTAGACAATTTGACCCCTGTGACCTTGCATATTGCTCAAGGTCATTTCTTCTTTACCAAACTTTGTTTGGATTCATCCTAGTAACCTACCAGCCAAATATCATGCTTCTGGGTCTTTTGGTAAATCAGAAGACGCTGTTTAAAAACAAATATGACCCCTGTGACTTTCAGCAAGGGTAAAGGTCATTCTTTTAACAAACTTTGTCAGGCTTAATCCTAGAAAATCGTCAGCTAAACACCATTCTTCTGCACCTTTTCATAGCAGATGGATGATGGATGACAGACAATGGACGACAAACAGATGCTACACCACAACCTACCGTATTTATTCTAATAAACACAATAAATGCTTTTCCCAAGTTTTCAAGGTGGAGTGTTTAATAGAACACAAAATTTCAGACCAAGGTGTAAATATAAAGTTAAAAACAAAGTCTATAGTCATCATGTCTGTGTAATGCTTCATTTTTAGGCAAATTAACAAATGCTTTGGCATTGAAGTAAGAAATTGCACTAGCGTTCATATTGGTGTAATTTGTACTAACAATGACCTGTACTTGTGTATGAAATGCAAAGTAGGCAGAGTGTGTCAGCTTCTGTCAAAAGATGCAGTTATTTGGTCATGACCTTGTGTTCTCTCATTGCTTGTTTGCCATTATATAACATTAAAATAACATCATTCTATAGCCATTCTGATCCTAACCTTGCTAGGGTCACTAGAATTTTTAATGTAAGTGGGATTCCGGCTATTGACCACAACCAGGATGAAAATAAAATTGCTGATAGACAGTTAGAACCCTTCAAACTGTACTACTACATACTTATGACAGTCACAATCCAAGTTGGCACAATGAATGCAGGTAATGAATCGGTCTCTGATGATAGGAGTAATGTACAAAATGTATCTCTTACCCAACTTTTTTGTCCTTTGAATCAAGAACTGTGTATTTCACACCAGAAAAGTTTTGTACACGCTCCACAACTGGATCCCGTGCTTTCGGGAAACTTTTTTCATATGACTGCTGAGTTTGTTTGTTCAGTTTTGTCTGTGTTTCCTTTTTCCCCTTTACTCGACCTTCGTGTTGGGATTTCGTTTTGTTTGTAAAGCTATTCTGTTTGGGGTGATTTTTTGCATCCGTTTTTGAAGTAAATCCGCCGGATCTTGGGATATTATTGAAACCTTCTGACATGCTCTTTTCTACTGCAGCTTTATTTATCCTTGGAATAGACGCCAAACGATTGAAGTCTTTCGATTGCGTCAGGTTACTTAGTACTGGATCATGTTTATCAAAGTCATCAATTCTATCTCGAAATGTCACTTTCTTCTCAATAAATTCACGTTTTTCTTCGTCAGCAGTTAGCACACGGATTGGGGTCCTTCTAAAACCTCTGGCATATGTTCTACATTGTTTGTTAACTACCAAAGAGTGCGATGTTTTAGTTCTCGATAGCAAAGTCAATTCGCGTCCGCATGTTCTTATGAAGGCTGCCATCTTGAAAGTCACTAACGACGTTATCGAAGTGCTTAATGTTTCCTCTCTTACCAAACGTTTGCCTGATAATGACAACTACTGTCAACTTTCAACTTTCAGCCGGTAAACAGTCCTAGTTTGTAGCTTTAACACCTCATGACAGCAACCTAAAATATGTCTTCGAGAAGGGCACTGCATTTCGTTTTCAAAGTAGGAAACAGGACAGAAACAGCTCGATTTTACAGAGATGTTCTTGGCATGAAAGTAAGCTAATAAAAGTTTGTCAATCACATGACCTAAAGTTACATAATGTTTAGCTGGGCTTACAGCTTGGGCATTGCACGTGTTTGTTTCAGGTTACTTCTTGATTTCATTAATAATTTATACATGAATATTAAATAGACTGTCTTACTAATAGTTTCCATGATTACTTGGCTTCTGAAAAGTATATTACATCCTCTACAGAACGTGCACAACTTAATATCTCTAAACACACATTACATATGGTGAGCCTTTATATGTGAAATATTGGTGAGACAGATTTTGATATAACAATTACTTTTCTCATTATTACGGGATATACCCACACATTTTTTGGCGCAAGCATTCAGCCAGATTTATGAGATAGGCAACAAACGTTAAGAGGCAGAGGCGATGAAAAAAAATAAGATTACGGCACACCAGACTTCAAAGTGTTACCAGGGAATAAGATATTTTCTAGCCAATGCCCATAAGATGACTTATGCATATAAGTTATGTTTTATCCTACAAGACTTAAAAAATGCACGTTCACAAATAGATGGGATAAAAAATTGTAGCATTCAATTGCATTCAACTGCAGATAACTATACTCACAAAATAATGTGATATGTGCACACCATATTTATTTGCTTTTTTTGTTTTTTATTCCAGTTTCTGCGACATGAAGAATTTGAAAAAGGATGTGAAGCAGCATGTAATGGGTAATAACACTTTAAAGAGTACTATAGAGTCACATGTGTAAATATGTCAGTGTTTATGTTCGTGGGTACATAATGAATTTTACTACATTATATTGCTAGTCACAAAATATTTAGAAGTGTCATTTAGAATTAGGTCACTGTGACCTTTATTTTCAGCTTCATTGACTTTGATTAAATTTTATATCTTACTTTATTTTCTGTTTTTGAAAAAAATCTATGGTTTACTACTTATCTTTGTCTGTTCATATCATTTATGTGTAAATCAAGTGCCTCTTATTTATCTATCTTAACCTGCTCATAATAATTGATTGACTTTTATATTTAATTCCATTTCTGTGATACTGTACAACAAAGTCTGAAAATAAGGGCATCATGAACTATATTTTATGATCACACAAATTAGGGATCAAGTTGATAGTTTAGATACTGACCCTGATAACCCTGATAAAATACTGGTTGCAATTTACTGCTTGACAAGAGAGAATTTATCTGAAGTTTGATTGGTTGAGTATCAGACTAGTAAACCAGAGGTCCTGAGCTTGAATCCTAGTGGAGGCATTGAGATAAATGATGACCTCTGTTACACCAGTTAGGCTATTGACTTAACCAAAGCCTTCTCTCAGGTGCTGATAATTGGATACTTCAACGAAGATCCTTCAACTGAGTTGAAACAGTCGTTTTTCTCTTACAAGACAGCCTTTAGGAAAATGATCAGGTGGTCTTATGATGGGGATTGTCTTTTACGAAAGGTTGTGATCCATTAAGGTAATTTTACAAAGGTGATAACCTTTCCTAAGGAGTTGAGACTGTTTCATGGTGGTGGTCTAATGATAAGGATGGTCTTCCCTGAGAGACTAAATATCATTAAGGAAGCTTTGAAATTATGATGGTCTTTCCTAAAAAGTTATGGGGAGTGAAATGTCTTACAATAGTTTGTAAACAGTCCAAGCTTAGAAATTGATAAAACATATCATCTTGTATCAATGAAATTACTGAACACTGCATATATCACAAATCATATCAATATCAGATATCTAGAACCACATAAACAGGTAATTTTGTCATTTCTGAGACATATCGATGTTGGCCCATGAGAACCATTAGTATTCCAGGTGAGATGGATTTTTTTTGTGTTGTAGACCATATGATGGCAAGTGGAGTAAATCAATGGTGGGATATGGACCAGAGGACAATCACTTTGTTGTAGAACTAACTTATAACTATGGTATTGGTACCTACAGACTGGGAACTGACTTTAGGGTAAGTTTTGTATAGGTAACCTGTAACTATGGTATTGGTACCTACAGGCTGGGAACTGACTTCAAGGTAAGTTTTGTATAGTTAACCTGTAACTATGGTATTGGTACCTACAGACTGGGAACTGACTTCAAGGTAAGTTTTGTATAGGTAACCTGTAACTATGGTATTGGTACCTACAGACTGGGAACTGACTTCAAGGTAAGTTTTGTATAGGTAACCTGTAACTATGGTATTGGTACCTACAGGCTTAGAACTGACTTTAGGGTAAGTTTTGTATAGGTAACCTGTAACTATGGTATTGGTACCTACAGACTGGGAACTGACTTCAGGGTAAGTTTTGTATAGGTAACCTGTAACTATGGTATAGGTACCTACAGACTGGGAACTGACTTTAGGGTAAGTTTTGTATAGGTAACCTGTAACTATGGTATAGGTACCTACAGGCTGGGAACTGACTTTAGGGTAAGTTTTGTATAGGTAACCTGTAACTATGGTATTGGTACCTACAGGCTGGGAACTGACTTTAGGGTAAGTTTTGTATAGGTAACCTGTAACTATGGTATTGGTACCTACAGACTGGGAACTGACTTCAAGGTAAGTTTTGTATAGCTATTATGTCATTATGGAAGCAGTTTGTATACATTAAGACTGGGAATCAAGTATAAATTGTAGACTAGGAATTTATTATAAATGAATTGTTTTGTACATGTTTCAGTACAATAGATATTGAACTGACTTTGAACTGTTTTCAGGGAATCAATATTTATTCCAAAGAAGCATTTAAGAATGTCAGTAACTGTGGATATGCAGTGACAGTAGATAGTGGAAAACAAATGGTAAACTCTCCTGATGGGTACAGTTTTACTGTGGAGGACAAAGAGAGTGAAGGAGGTAGGTGATATTAGTACAATATTTACAGAATATATTTGATTGATTTGGTGAAGTTTGCATTCATTGTCGGTTTTTGTGATGCTCATATTGTATGTTACAGACCCAGTACAAAGTGTGTGCCTAGGATGCTCTAATCTGTCAAAGTCTGTTGGTAAGTAAAACAATGTTCACATAATGATACAGAAAAGATACACATATTTGCCTATACAGATGAGTGTCACTATTTGTCACTCCACCTGTTTGTCAACAGTAAAGCCAGTGTTGTCAACCTCTTGTCAAGTAATATCTGATCATATTCCTTCAGAATCAAGGATGACAAAATTTTAAAGGGTTGCAGGTAAAAGACCTTAAATTCGATTCTATTGTATAGTTGTCACATCATTATTGATTTAGATAATGTTCTCTGTTATGCTTGAACATTACTTTGACTATAAAAGATCCAATCATTGAATTTGAAACTGTCAAATGCTGATGAAAGTGAACTCAATTTTGCATGGCTATGCTTTTTCTTTGAAAAACGGCTGTTTTTCAAGCATCCAATTGACCTGAAATTTGGTTCATATTTTTGTTGAACAGTAATATTGAACATAAATAACTGTTTTTTTTTTTTAAATTTTTTTGTTTAATCAAAACTCAATTTTTAATGTGTTTTTGATCTTAGTCCTTTTTCCAATGTTAAATCTTTGTCTTTAGTTTTGCGTAGTGTCTTTCTATATAGTGGATTTAGTATGCCAATTTCTCGCATAAATACTATTATGGGATGTTGTTATGATGCTATAAAGTCAAATTAAAAAAATGATTAGTGTTGTTAAACATTTTTGATGTGGTTTTTAGACACAAAATAATTTGCATCACTCTATAATAACAAGATATATGTTTGAGAAAAAGTGTTTTGGAAAGAGAATGTTGATGTAAGAATTTGTGTGGAGGTATACACTAGGAGGCTGTAGGAGTATGTAGCACACATCAAATAAACACTGACACATCATTATGTTGAAAATAATTGGCTTTTATATAACTTATTTAGTGCTGGATATAGGATGTTAATTCTTTACATGAATATTATGTGATTTTACAGTCATGATGTGAAGTCATTTGATAAATTTACAAAGGGATGAAGTATTATTATGTTTTGAGCATTTTCAAATCTAGTTTTCAGCTATTTTTCACATTTTCATGCAGTTTTGACCAAATCTGGTACATTTGTGTACAGAGGTTTTTGCATCTGCAGGGTTTTTAGTTATCCTGGGAGTGACACTTTTAGCTTCATTTCGATATGTCTCCTGGTAGGCATGTCCTTTTTATAGTCTCCTTAGATAGAATTTATTTTGAGTTATATTTCTGTACCGCTCTTATAACAATTTTTTTAATTAGTGCATTTGATTGGTATCAAGAGTAGCTAGTCTTTGTGATTGAATTTTCATTTTTATTTGTAGCTAGGAGTATTTTCAGAGCAGTTGTCAATTTTTAAATATTTTTTAGTTTTCCTATTCTGTATGTAAGCAGGAAGTATTGGTTTAATTTGTCTAAAGTTAACAGTTATAATTATTTCAGATTTCTGGTCTAGGCTATGCGGTATGAAGATTTACAAACAGGAAAACAAGTCAGCACTACTGGGATTTGGTGATAACCAGGTACAGCTATTAACTCCTGTCTATCTTATTATACTTCACAAGGAATGATTTTACTTCAGTACCTTGTTATTGTAGATTGAAGGGTCTGATGACCTATTGCAATCATCTTTTGTCCGGTGTCGTCCGTCGTAAACATTTTCAACTTCTTCTCAAGTTCTACATGTCTAATTGAGCTGAAACTTACCGGAAATGATCGTGACATGATCCTGACCAAAGTTTGTAAATTTCGAGTTGGCCGCCATCTTGAAAACACATTTTCGACTTCTTCTCAAGTTCAAAATTTGAAATCTTGTATTTTATGTCAGATGACCGTTAAGGCCCGTGGTCCTCTTGTTAAATATCTGCATTGTGAGTTAAAAGATGAAAATATATTACCAACTCAAGGGCTTGAGATACATGAAGCAACTTCTGACTCTCTGTAAAAACACCCTAGTATCATCAGAAGGTATTTCTGTTAACCTGTGTTTATATACTGTGTACAATTTCATATTCACTATCTAAGTCACAACTTTCCAATGTAGCAAGTCTTTCCTATTTAATAACCAATGGAATAAACTGTTTTCGTTTCCAGGGAAACATACAATCACTAGTTTATATTTGGTGTAAAAATGGACCTAATTAACACTTCATGTAGCTGTCTGTTTGCTCATGAGAGTGTCACTGTGTTGATAAAGACTATTTTGAGAAAAAGCTTTAATGTGTATTGTATTGAGACACAAAAATGTAAACAGAAACACAGTATGAAATAACAATAATAAACAGATTATCATATAAGCCATCAGAGGATTTCACACCTGTGCTTATTTTCAGTGTAAACTTGAGCTCCAGGACATAGGTGTGAGTGTTGACCATGCCACTGCCTTTGGACGGATTGCCTTTTCATGTCCTCGCACAGAGGTGAGTTTCTAGCCATAATTACTGGGATAATCCCTGTAAAACTTACTCCTGTCAAAAAGTTTTGTAGATTTAATTTTCATGAAAAATATTACATTTTTCGCTTGAAATACTGAAGTTTTTTGGTAAGATTTATGAATATATAGGGATTTATGACTTGTCTAGAAACATACGCTTGCTGTCTACAGTTGCCAGATATAGAGAGAAAGATGAAGGAAGCTGAACAGACCATTCTAACACCCCTCATCAGTCTGGACACGCCGGGCAAAGCCACAGTAGAAGTTGTCATCCTAGCTGATCCGGTAAGTGTTAGATTAGATAATATACTCTGTATGATAGGGATCTTGGAATATGGGGCTGTGATGGCTCAGTCAGTAGCACTTTGGCCTACATAACCTCACATTGAAGATTCAGGGTGCATGGTAACTAATTCTATACAACCTACCCATGACAGTTTGTTTTTCTCAGGGAGCAGAGAAATGGACCTAGTCTGTGGTGAAGTAGTTCCTTGCTTGGGCAAGACACTTTACTTTAATTACTCTTGCAAAAGGCCTTCCATATGTTGTTCAGTGATATAACCACCAGCCTCAAAATGACCCAGGCAGTTGATTGGGTGATAAACCATTTAAACCACAATTATTGGAATGCCTGTGTAAAATGCAATCTAACAAATATGCTTATAAATAGATATGTTAGGATAATTCAGGTTTAATAAGTATTTTATCACATTTATAGACAGTAGGGAAAGATTATATTTATTGTATAATTTATGGAATTGAAATCAATCCATTTTATTTCCTGAATAACTTGTGAACTTTGAGATGGACACCACACTGCAATGAAAATTATGCAACATTGTTCAGATTTTTAGGTCATCTGACTGAAGGGTCTGATGACCTATTGCTATTGCCTTTTGTCCGGCGTCCGTCTTACGTCATAAACATTTTCAACTTCTTCTCAATTTCTACATGTCTCATTGAGCTGAAACTTACCTGAAATGATCGTAACATGATCCTGACCAAAGTTCGTTAATTTCGGGTTGGTCCGAAATCCAACATGGCCGCCATCTTGAAAACACATTTTCGACTTCTTCTAAGGTCAAAATTTGAAATCTTGTATTTTATGTTTATATTGGTGGACCACATGACAGAAAAGACTAGTTTATATATCATGGACTTGTCCTGTGTTTGTCCTTCTGTTATCTTGTCTGGACTATATCTGTAGATCATCGTTCTTTATTTCAGGATGGCCATGAAATCTGTTTTGTTGGTGATGAAGCATTCCGTGAGCTGTCACAGATAGACGATAAAGCTGATGAGTTGCTGGATCAGGTACATATTGCTATTTAGTTGTACTATCACTTAAAAGGAGTAGGCAAAAGTTTTACCAAGAAAAGAAGTAGCAGACAAGGTAAAAAGGTATTTCAGTTAATTTATAAGAAATTATTAAGTTTTGAAAGATGTTGTTTCTGTTGGTTGACAATCTCAGTAAAATAAGAAACTACTTTAATTTAATGTGGTGTAGCATGCTTACTTTCAGCAATTAAAGTTTTGTTTTTCACAAGATCCTATATATCAGATTTGTGATGCGATAATTACAGGTTGAAGTTGGAGTTACCCAATTCCTCGAATCTGGGTTTGAATTGCCATATGAACCAACATGCATTTTAATTTCAGGGGGTAGCAGCTGACAAAAGTGACGAGTGGTTTAAGAAGAAAGGACTCACAAAAGGCACAGCGTGATACCTTTGCTCAGTATCAACATCAACATGTTAACCAAACCCAACCTCACTTTCTATCATTACTAGTTTAGGGTTAGTATGTGATTGGTTCTGCTTCAGAATAAAATTAGGAACTGCATATGTTCAGACATTTGTTAAGGTATATTAGACGTGAAACATGGATTTGTTCCAGTTCTAATCCTGAGTTTAGGAGTTTGGCTGTCCAGCAAGAAGCTTCTTAAGTGTTGGTATATCCCATTCCATCAACAGACCATAGGGGAAGTTTTTTCACTCCGTGAGCTTTATGGTCACTAACTTAAAATTTTTTCTATCTCACCCCAAGGGGCTGTAACATTCTGTTATGCTTTTCCCTAGCCTAAAGAGGCCCATCTTGTGAATAATTTATCAATCTGTCAAGGGCTGACATTCTGTAACAATATCTCATTCCAGGCAAAGCCAACAATGAGAGTTATGAAGATATATATGGGTGACAGATTCTTTATCTCATACATCGTTGTGTCAGAATTGCAGTTAGATTTAAGACAGTTTGATATAGGACTGCAGTAGAAAAAGCAACACCCTATTCACTTTCCAAACTGTCCTTACAAAAATCATTTAAACTTTTATGTTAATTATAATTATATTAACAGGACTGTAGATACACTCTAAGTTAAATGACAATGTGTGGAGACTTTTGTACCACACTGATCTATATCGCACCAATGCTTTGCACTTAGGTAACAAACCTTACATGATAGCTTTGTATTAATCATATAGATGACCCTGAATTTTAGAAAGATCTTGGAAAAAAAAAATGTACCAGAGAAACAATTAAGGTATATCATGGTAAGATACACGAATGTTATAGGATATTCAGTTCCAAGTGGTTGTAAGATAATTTTTTTTGTCTGTATGAATGTTTTCTAGGTGATAAATAACCTTTAGTTTGATGATTATGAGGTATTGCAATATATGTTTATATACAATGTATACCTGAATACTCCATGAAGAAAATTCCTATTTAAACAGAAAATATCCCTGTAAATAGATTTGTATCACATTAAAGTGCCATATATCTGATTTTGTTTTGTATTATTTGATAGATTATGAAACGTCCATCAGTCAATGTCTTTTTCTGTGCATGTTTTGTGATGATTGTTAGGCATGCCAATTTGAGACATCATTCTTGGAAAACACAGCAATATATTAATTGATTAAAAGGAGATTAAAATACTGTGCTTTGACCAATTTTGTTATAATGCTTTCTTGTATGATTTTTGTATAAAGAGAGGGTCTGGCTTATTTTGGGCAGATGATTTCATCCCAACGATAATAGTATTTGTTACATGTTTCCTGAAATTCCTACAAGAGTTGTAAAAAATCTTTTGTGTGGACACAGACATTGACAGAGTCATCTACAACATGTATTTTTACTTCATAGCTGACAAAAATATGATCTATTACATTCAATAATGATAAGAAAGGTTGTTTTGATAAGTGTAAGGCTGTTGTTTATGTAAAATTACAAGTCTGCCATTTTGTGAGTAAGATTGTTGTGTGAAAGTCCAATGACTTCTGATTAAGGGAAGAAAACAAAACTATAAAGTTTCAGATAGGGATTGCTTTAATAGCAATACATGTAAATGTTAAAAGTTTTGGCATACAAACATCAAACTATAAGTAGTTACTACATCGATACACAACTCTGGGACCAGTAAATAAGCAAGCTTCACAATAGTGTAAGCAGTAGAAATTAATAGATCGTAAATGATTCGACTTAGAAATTAAAAGTTTCATAATAATATACAGATGAAAACAATATATACTTTGTATACCAGCCATACAATTAGAGAAGGAACACACACATTCTTTATAGTCTTACATACTTGGGTGTCAAACTTCACATTCATATAAAATTCATGTGTTCATCACAGCTATGAACTGCCAGTCAACACTTTTTATCTCTCTCTCTACATTGCTGGAGCAAATATCAGGAAAATTTTGTAGGAAAGCGTTCTTCTGTTGATCAATCAAACTTCCAAGAGATCAACTTCACTTATCAAGAGTTGCAATACACCTTCTCCTTTTCAGGAAAAGGTGGATCATAGCCTATGGTTACAATGTACCTACTCTTCATGAATAGGTGGATCATAGCCAAGAGTTACAATCCACCTTCTCCTTTTCAGGTATAGGTGTATCATAGCCTAGGGTTACAATCCACCTACTCCTATTCAGGAAAAGTTGGATCATAGCCTAGTGTTACAATCCACCTACTCCTTTTCAGGTATAGGTGTATCATAGCCTAGTGTTACAATCCACCTACTCCTTTTCAGGAAAAGGTGGATCATAGCCTAGTGTTACAATCCACCTACTCCTTTTCAGAAAAAGTGGGTCATAGCCAAGAGTTACTATCCATGTACTCTTCACAAATAGGTGGATCATAGCCTAGTGTTACAATCCACCTACTCCTTTTCAGGTATAGGTGTATCATAGCCTAGTGTTACAATCCACCTTCTCCTTTTCAGAAAAAGTGGGTCATAACCAAGAGTTACAATCCATCTACTCTTCACAAATAGGTGGATCATAGCCAAGGGTAACAACAATCTTTTCCTCTCAAGAGTAGGTAGATCATATCCTGTGGCAAACAAAAATGAACAGTGACCCTGGAAATCCTGTAATCATCAGATAATACATAAACAGCAATCAAAGTACTGTTGACTTATTGATAATACTGTTTGAAAGTTATCAATACACTGTAAAAACCATGTACTGCCAGTACTGAGAACCATTAAAATGAACACCATTAACAATTAACTGCATGGATAAATTAAAAAAGTACATTGTAATACTACATGTACGAAGGTCTTCATATTTCAAGCATTAAATTTAGTACTAACACAACAGGTATAATAGCAACATCAGTAAACCATAGGTTCTTGTCGGTATATCCTTCAGCAATGCACATTCACATCAGTTGTAATACTGACATAAACATAAGTTTATTTTTGAAAATAAAGAAAATAATTTTTTTCTCTGTAAGATTATAAGTTTATCAATTCAATTATAACTACAAGAGTGCCATGAATATATGAATGATGTATGGTAATATTGCGAACTTAACACTGGTATAATGTATAAGTTCTAGTTTCATTGCAAGACAAGGTATTTATTTCAACAAGAGATAAATATGCAAAAAAAACTGATTAAACTCGTAGAGGTTATATCAGAAAAGCTACCTCTACCCCAACATACAGGATATGGGCACTTCTGCTGGATTTGGCAGCAACGGATTCCTACTGCTAGTCACCATACCTCTATCACAAGGACAGATAAATAATGATATAATATCAAGCATGACATGATACTAGAATTTGCTCATAATCATTTACCTAGCATTCACAGACACACAGAGAGAACCTCATTTACCCAGCATTCATAGAAACACAATCAGCACTTCATATACCCTGATTTTGTATACAAACAAACCATAAACTCATTTACCCTAAATTGACAGACTACTAACTTTACAGAAACCTTGCCATTTCTGAACATCATGCTTATCCAGCAATGCCTGGTAATAAGCCCATGTTTAGTGCAGTGTAGTATACTTTTTGACAAATTCTACTTCATGGCAATGCAAGAATTACATCTCTACTCTGAGCTTATTACAATTTTTTCACAGCCACACGAATTAAGTAGTATGGAAATGGAGACTGTGGACTTTACAAGAATTTCCACTCAAATGAAATTTATGAAACAAATCTTTTTTTCTATTTTACCAAACCTCTGGCAAATAAAAGTGAAAAGTTTGGGAGAAGTTTTTTTTTTTTAAAATGGAATGCAAAGTAAGATTCTGTTGTCAAATGACTTGAGAACCTTTCTCAAACAAATATAAAAGCAGCATTTTTTTAGACTGATCCAAAACCAAAATATTCTCCCATATATTCTTAGTCACAATGTATATGATGCCATGAAGTTATGACGTCATAATGAAAACAATGCAGACCTTAAGTCAATGACAGCTAGGTCATACTGAGAAATGGCAAAGATATATGTAATGAGTGTTATTACACTGACAAAGACTGATGAAGAAAGTACTGCCCAGTGAAATACCGTGTAGAGATCATACTTCTAAGAAAACTTCCATTCATACAGTCTTTGAGATGAATAGAAGCAATTTTGTCCCAAAACATAGAAATCAAATAGGTAATGAAAATGTTACACAATGAAATGAAAATCTAGAAGGTAATATTTGTTTTGCACATAAAACAGCTTAGTAAGAGATGTTAAACAATTCTTATACATTTGTATATTAACACTGCACATACACAATTATCACTTACAATTCAACATCTGTCTGGATATATAACAAACATACAATGCAATACAAAACAAAGATTTATGTCACTTTTCTATTAGTACATAAAAGTATTTAAATGTTGTTAAATGGATTGAGAGAGATGGTTAAAATAACAAACCCTAAAAATCAATTACAACCTTACTCCAAAGTAGTTAAGGTCTCTTAATAGTCATAAACAGAATACACTGAAGTTACTTTGTACATTAAGTCAAATATAATCCATTATATTAGACAAAGTAAATAAAAAGCAATCCTTATACTTGATTTTTGAGGACATTTTTAACTTCCCAAATACAGTAACACATGACATACATGGGACTAGATGCTCCAAAACAAGAGTACAGCAGTTCTGGGGTCCTTTGATTTTGAATATCAAACAGATCTTTACCAGTGGAATATACTCTTGTTTAAAACAAAAATAGGTACCACTTCATATACTTTTAAATACTTTTATGTGTAAGTAAGATGTAAAGTTTGTTTCCTGGAACATAACAAATTCTTGATATTTTCCACACAAGTTTTCATTTCAATTTTCGATATTTATCTTATTTCACGCATAACTGAGGAAAATAATGAACATTTTAGGTCAATAAAAACAGTGTCCTGCATTAAAACATTCATAGTGAACTGTTCAGTAACAATACAGCTACCATTTAGCTCCATTGTTTATGTAATGATTATAGAAAACATTGGTCGACATATCTCAATATAGTGGTTACCTCCCTTACATCAGCGTCCGGCTAACTTTTTGATTCATTGTTTTGTTTACAGGGTGCCACAATGGCTTCGGTAGAATTTTTTTTATGCTAATGACAATGCTTTGTCTTGGTTTCGATTTTTCTATCATTTAAGATTTTCATAGCTATTACAGTTTCTAAAGAGACTAGCGAACATGTTTAACAAAGAATTTTTCAACAAATTATTTTTCCAGCAGCATTTTGTGAGGCTATACAAATGTCATACACAGATACAAATACACATTCCAATAATTCTTATACCTCTTTACTTCAAAAAATCACATGACAACTCTTGGCAGTACATATTATTCATGATGCCAAAATTTATTTATGGGTCTTGGCATTCCTTCCTGGAATAATGAACTGATGTGTCATGATCATTAACTAAAACGTTGTAGGATGGTAAGAGCAAACAATGCTATATCAGACCCAGACCGTACTTATAAAAAAGCATGTATCTGTATATTAATATTCATCAAGGAAAACATAACATTAATGTCAAATACTACTATGTATAAATTAAAAGTATATATATAAAGAGAAAAATACTGCATATAAACAAAGAGAGAAAACTTTCAACATTTCATGTTGTAACCAAGTTTACTTCAGAGATTCAAATTGAGAACAAATGGACTAAGCAAACATTATAATAAAAGTATCAATTATCAAATCAACTATGGTTTATTCTTACCATATATGGCAACAAATGATTGAAAGTGTAAAAAGACAATAATAAACTTGATTTTTAAAAAAACGCACAAGTTGGGTATACAGCACATCAACTAGATATGCTCATATCAACATCTATTGAAATTACTTTAAAAACACCATGGCAACCATTGTCTTTAAAAAAATAACCAAACAGATCAGACTAGTTTTTGTTAACAATGGAATTTCTCTTCATTATTATCTTACACAGATACACTGTATCTAATTTTTCTAGGACAAGTTTTTAAGGCAGTAATTCTCGTAGCAGAAAAAACTTATTTATGCTCTGTTTATTGAAAGGGTATTAAGATATATTATCTATGTATTTAATTACATACTAAAATTGTTGTTATCCATGTTTGATCTTGACTCCGACATTACTACTCCATCTTGATTATCAACAATGAAACCATCTTTGAATTTCATGCTTGTATCGGAAAGTTCGTGCATGGGAGACAACTCTATGTCTAAATCGCTGTTTGGTAGTTTGCTTCCAGATGGAGAGAAGCTACTAATTTTGATGTTTGGTGATCTTTGATCAGCAGTATTTCCTTGGCGACCTCGTTTACCTGATTTCACTTTCTTTTTCACAAATGCTACATTTGTAGGACAAAACAGACTAGAGTTTCCATCGGTTGGGGATTTTTGAACTTTGTTGCTTCCACTTCCTGATTTATGGGTGGCACTCGACTTTGATTTTGATTTCGAAGGACGCATATCCCCCATTATACTGGTAACAGCATACAATCCTGAAACCTCGCCCCAATTATTGGCTCCTTGAGAATAAGTCCTATGATCTGATTCTCCGTATAATGAATGATGTCTATGTCCAGTAGGGGGCACTGCATCACAGTGTACTAATTGGGAATCACCCTTTTTCATTCTATATTGCTTCCTCAGTGCGTTAAGTTCCTCCATTTGCTTGACCTCTGACCTTGATCTTGGCAAAGGTCTTACAGTGGTTGCAGACTCAGAAGGTGAGTCAGAGGTCAGTGAGTGTCTTTTTTTACTACTAGATGAAATGCTACCTGATGAAGACCGATGTGATCGGTGCTTATTTTTGTGTCGTAATTTCACATGGGGTAGTCGACTTTCCCTACCAGATTTTTGTCTTTCATCTTTTTTCCTATTAACATGGTGCAAGCCTCTGTCATTTTGATCACAATATGCTTCATTTCCTGTACAAGTATCAGATTTAATGCCATTGTTTTCTGAAATGTTACCATTCTGATTATCAGCGTTAACTTCACAAGCAAGTGGGTGTGTTTCACTGCCAGTGCTGTTATCAGCATTTTCTGGCCTACTTAAAGATACAGAATTGTCTGCCCCTGAAAACACAGAAAGTGCCGGGCGTCCTGCGAAAGCATTTTCCGGATATTGTGCATCACTCCTAAGTGCCTGACCAGTTATTTGGGAGAGTTTTTTCTCTCCAGTCTCTGAACATACAGAAAACATTGACACATCTGAAACAATAGAGCTGGAACGAGGCATGGCCGTATTCTGAATAGGCAGTGACTGTACCGGAGATGGTGGGGAGTTATTTACAGAGCCACCCTCCGCACTCCGTAACAAATTGGATAGTCTTAATTCCCGAAGTGCTTGCAGGTCCTGTAAGTTCTGCTGTTGCTGTGTAGGTGCTTGCTGCGTAGTGCTATCACATCCAGACTGTCCAGATTCTGATATTGTTGAAATATCAGTTATGTTAAATGCATGACCGGGATGGCGTAAGTGTTCCAAGCTTTGTGGCCTTTGAGGAGAGGAAAACATCATTAGTTGATTTCTGTCCACATTATCACACTGATCCCTACCATACCGATCAGAAGACATTGTCATTATCTCACTATTGTGTACACGAGGTAACAGTGGGCACGGATCTACAAAGGAGACCTGAGCTCCATTTCCGGCACTGTCATGTGAACCAGTACGTACATGTCCTGCACTAGCACTTCCATGCATTTGTGTGTCTGTACATATATTGGATGGAAGAGACCCGTATCTCTGGTGACGTGAGGTTGGTTTCTTTCTTGTGGAAGAAGCCACCATTTTATTGTCAGGTTGATCCTGGAAGGACGGTGGAACATATCCTTCCAATGTATCTGTAATATCAGCTACCACTCGTCGCTCTGATGGCTCACTCAACGGCTCATCTTCAGTGGTTCTGTTAGCATCTATATTGTTGTTGTACAATTCCAGTGACATTTCATCTAACCTACACAGATCTTCTGATTCACGTGGTAACATACTTCTATGTGAACACTGTTTGACATTACCTGAACCCGAACGTGACCTCCTAATTGGTCGATCCTGGTTCCCATTCCTAGACCTTGTGACAACTGTGTTGGAACATGATTTAGGGAGACTGTAGCCAGTTTTGTGCCATGGTACTGTATCATACCCACAGGATAAGGATGGTGGAAGGGCAAAGCTGTTGCTGTGGCCTATTCTACAAGTTCCACCCAGTACACCAGAATGACGTCGACTCCTGTCAGAGTTACCTGCCCCTGAAGTGGTTCTGTTTCCATCACATAGAGCCCCTGCATTGGCAGTGGAATTAGATTTACGGATGTAGCGAGCCCTGTTATTGGTCACAGATAAATCAACAGATTCCTCTGAACTGCTACGTGAAAGCTGTTGCTGACGGAAACGAAGACTTTGTAACAACTCGGTGTTGAGGGCATCTTGGATCCTGTCAGATGACTGGCGTTCATGACTGACATGACTGACATTAGAGGGCATTTCCTGATCTACTTGGCCATTTTGTTGTGTGTTATGGATAATGGTTGTCATGTTAATGTTGTTATTGTTGCTGGGTACTTCCTCATAAGGTGGTGGTGCCTCCCTGGAGGGCAAACGAGTATCAGGCTTTGGTGGGGTGTATGGGGGCGGTGGATCCTCATAGGGAGGGCACTGAAGCCAATACTCAGGGATCACTCTGTCCTCAAAATCCTCCATCTGCTCAAGTCGGTTGTCTTGGTAACCTGACAAAAACAATAAATATTTTCAAAATGGTCAGCACTTAATATTCTTTCCACCATTAAGACTGTCTTTTAGGAGACAAAACTTCATTTTGAATATTAGAATTGTTTTAGATTACAATCCAGCAATAAAACAGGAAAGGTCTATGGTGATAAGGACATTAAGTTTAACATTATATTGAACAACTTCAAAGAGTAAAATTTTCTACCAGCCACATTGGTAAGAGTTCAGTTCTTTATATCTAATGCTAGTAACAGGACAGTAAATTCAATTAAAGTAATATGTGTCACAATCCCTTCAAGAAATGGGTTTTCAAAAATACCTCAGCATTACTTACAGTGGTTAGAATCTGTACCATGCACATAGGAATCACACTTTCATTTATGTATATTGGAATCATAAGATTAATAGGAAGTTAAAAAGGTCTTTCATTCTCCTGAATGTCTGTCACTGATTGATTTCAACTTATTTATTAACTACTCGAGATCAATACAAAAAGGCTTGTTAGTGTCCCTAACTAGTTCCTTTATACGTACGTCTCATAGCCATCATAAGGCGACGCTGACGAAGGCGATGGACCATGAACAGCAGGAGTGCCAACACGAGGAAGGACGTGACAGTACTGGCCACTAAGCGGAGCCCCAGTGTGGTGATGCTGTCTGATGATGCTTCTGTAATACAAAGAATTTCACATAAATAGAATGAAAATTATTCCATCTAGCATTTAAACCTCTGTAGTGGTTTCATTTTTTAATGCTTCTACTACTGAGCTCAATCCAATGGTGGACGATTTCAACACTTAACTCTAGATACATAGAGAATACAATATTGCCTAATGACGTATGCCAACATAATTGCTCCACACAGAAAAGTAGTTTCAAACTTCAACAGATATGACAGCAATTTCATGAATTTTCGTAAATAAACGTATTCATTATAACATATAAAATCACTTATTTCAACAGTTATCTATCTTATTAAATATAATTTTAAAGTCAATTCAGAAAGTAATTATGTTGAATTACTGCACATGTTAAAATACAGCTGTTTTCTGTCACTGCCGTTTACAGCAAAAATATATGTAACAGGTGTATTCCAACAATGGCAGTGCCAGTTGCAGGATAAAGGACTTTACTAGTGAAGAGGCTAGGGTAGATGGGTGAGAAGAGCTTTACAATTTGTTGTTCTGTTTGATCATAACCAATATTGATAACAGTCATCGAGAACTGTACCGAAAGTTGAAACGGGGACTTCAATGACATAATAGGTTAAACAATAATGACTTTCTTCACAATTGTTTGTCTAAAAGTTCTTTTTAAACAAATTTTAAACATACAACTTAAATGAAATTTTTGCTAGGAAATATTCATTTTTTTGATTGATTGTTAACCAGAAAGAAAAACAATTAAGTAGAGGTGTCTATATTTAGTTTTGATGGCAGTATCTGATCAGAAAGTTCTGAAAAGATTGAAGGTATATCTGTTCTCATAATGTACAAAATATTCAACAGATTATGAAATAAACTGCTCTCAACCTTTCTAAGATGATATTCTGAAATATAAAGAACGTAATTTTTGGTGCTGATATTAAGACATATTGTATCAAGGTTATAAATTCATATTTAAAATCTAGTCATCTCTACATTTCAAACCTAGAGACCTGAATTTTCTGTGTAGATATGTATACATGGTATGCTATGTCAGGAAAAACATTTAAGACATTTGGCTGGCTCATTCTGACCCAAATAAATGTTTCAGTCAAGCTGCTTTCCTAACAACTTTTCTCAAAACTTGGTTTACTTCAAAATCATCTCAGAAATGAAAACAGATTTAAATAGAAAATTAAGTGTCAAGCGTCATTGGGAAGTGAAGCGTTACTATTGAGGTGACAGTGTGTAACGCTATCAGCTTCAAGTGTCAAATCAACTGGATATGCTCACCCTGGTGATGTTGAAAAGGTCAGAGAATACTGCAGTTACAAGTCAATGAACACCATATCTACACCAGACCCCACACAATGTTTCACACCTAATGATTATCTTCCAACACCAGTATTAGTTCACCTTGTCACCTAGCATGATGACTATCATCTGTCCATCATCAGTCAACTTTTCTGTCTAAAACATTGCTGATCCAGAAAGTGAATTTTCACTGATATAGTCTGGAGAACTGATGGGTGAAGACAACTCATTATCGTGTTCCTTCTTTAGGGGGAGGGCATTTCCACCCAATATGGAAAATAGAATATTTAATTGGGTTTTGACCTAAATCTGCTTAAAATGCAAGAAAACAGCAGTAGGGGAAATGTAATAACTTGACCAGGATTTAAATCCCTGACTTCCTGACAGTACTCTAACTTAGCAGCCTTAATGTCACTTGTAATCACCACAACTGTATTCTGTACAGTATATTGCACTGCTTATTGGCCAAGGCATTCAAGACTGGTATTCACCGACATGAATTTTCCCAAGAATTATTTATATACACGTAAACATTTGAAAATGTAAAGCAATTCTATACTATCATTGTGTATTCCCAGGTGAAATTCTACATAATGGTATTTCCTGATGTTAGTCAACCATCAACAACCATTTAATCCAGTATCAATAAATTAATACCTTTGAGTTATCTCCCTTGTCATGATTGAATGCTAACTATATGTTACACTTACCATCCACCTCACTATCAACTGGTTTGGTGCTGTTGATTGAGTTATCTCCCCCTGCTATCACATCAGTCTCTGGACACTCAAATTTGCAGCACTGATCAGTGAGTCGTTTCCACTTACAAGGTGTAGTTGGTGGGGCACATGTGACAGAGTGACACATGATGGGAAAGCCATTATCACATCGACATGTCTGACACATATCCTTGGTTGGCTGAAATGTCTTCCCATCCTGGATAATATTGCCCTTGTAGTCAGAACAATTCAGGTTTGTATTGGCACCTGTTGGAAAATGTAAAACATTACTGACAGAAAAGTGTCAGGAGACTAATTTAATCATCTTAATTAGTAATAATGTTTCAGGTTGTGAGGATAAGTTCTGCTTAGCACTTTTAGACTGACATTAGTGACAGACATGATTTTCAGATTTTCTATAACTTATCTCAAAGTTCTTAAATTATCAATTGTTGAAACTTAACAATAAAGTACCTGTCATATCAGTCATTAATATATATAAATTCAATCATTTAATTATTTTCTATAGATACCCCCGCTAGCCTGTTGCCATGGTTGTGGGAGGGTCTTAAGTTGGTTGAGGTTAAGTTCCTGGGGATTATTTTCTACCATCGTCATCTCAACAGTTCATTAAACATCCATTTCTTTGGAGCACTTATTCATAGATCACACCAATCATGACAGATTATAGTTTTCAAAGAATTCAAAATTCTCATTTCCTCCCTGGATTTCATATCATATTACAAATTACACATTTTAATATCACTGACTATCAGTTAACTGACATATTGATTTTTTTTCTTCCCATCATCTTAAAATACCAATGTTTCCCCTGAACTGGTTTCTCCTTTCTAACTCTATACATAATTCTTATCCATCAACTATCTCATGGGCATTAAAAAGACAATGTATCTTATTTATTGTATTTTATCATTTAAATAGAAAAAAAAGTCAAACACAATGACTAAAATTACCATCCCTTATTCTGTCCTATAACTGAATAATATTGACAGTGTACTTTTCCTTGGTAATACAACTTGATAATCATCTATGTATATGCATAGTGTGTTACATGTGCCAAGCTTTATCATTTTTTTTTCATTACATGAAGTCACCAAAAGTGATATTGATATTGTTAATGATAAACACCTAATGCTATTCAATATATGAAATGGATATTCTCATTACATCAGTAATTATACTGAAATTGTTTCCATAACAAAATGAAACAGATTACATAAAACTGCTTACAAGGCACAATTTCCTAACACTAGACTCAGAGTCTGCCAGTAATGGAGATATTATTCCACCACTGGACAGATTTCAACTGATCTAGAGCCTGAAGCTGTGTAAAACTCTATGACAGACTGTCTCGTACACTGACATGGTTGGTATCACTGAAGACAACCACATGTAAGGCAGGTAAAAGTTTTAAAGCCTGACAAGATAATAAAAGGTGATAAAGTTTTGGTGAGATGATGCATAACTAGTTCAAACATCCTGTTTCAATAATTAGGATTAAATATTCAGACAAGTATATATGGCATACAAGGTCACCAAAAAAATCATTGTGCACGAGATACACTTCCAGAGACAAGTATTTTTGATGATTCTCAGCTCTGTAGTTTCTGGCAGAAATAGACATCCTAGCTACCTACAACTGTAAATGAGTTTTTATTTTGTTTGAGATTTTATGAAACAAAAAGCATTAATGAGCCAAAACTAAATCATCGAGACAAGTTTTGTAAAGTCTCATTCATGAAATGAAAACAATTTTAAGATTCATCTGATCAAAAAAGCTATATTTTGACAAATTTTTAAGCAAAAATGTGTAGGGATGAAGTCAAACAGGTAGCCATTTTGTTGCACAATTTTCAATTCATGGCATAATACCACAGTCCATATTATGACGTAACTTGCGTATTATGTGATATGTAACGTGCTCTTAACAATCAAGATATTAAAACAAAACCTGTGAAGAATTCAGTACTGGTGAACAGATAATCAGAATTACCAATTAAATTGACAGGCAAGAGTCTGCTGTAATAAGAATTTGCTAATGCAAGAATAATGTTATAAATTTCTCTGGGTGAATTAAAATTCCAAAATATACAGGTGTTGTTTGTATTTCTATGTCATGGTTTACATAAATTACGTCTTGAATTCATGGTATCATTCAAACGTCAGACAATGTCATGTTCTAACTTTATCATAGTCAGTGAAGTGTTTTAGTCTTATAACTTACAATGTCATGTTCTAACTTTATCATAGTCAGTGAAGTGTTGTGGTCTTATATCTTACAATGTCATGTTTTAACTTTATCATAGTCAGTGAAGTGTTGTGGACTTATATCTTACAATGTCATGTTCTAACTTTATCATAGTCAGTGAAGTGTTTTTAGTCTTATATCTTACAATGTCATGTTCTAACTTTATCATAGTCAGTGAAGTGTTTTTAGTCTTATATCTTACAATGTCATGTTCTAACTTTATCATAGTCAGTGAAGTGTTTTAGTCTTATAACTTACAATGTCATGTTCTAACTTTATCATAGTCAGTGAAGTGTTTTAGTCTTATAACTTACAATGTCATGTTCTAACTTTATCATAGTCAGTGAAGTGTTTTTAGTCTTATATCTTACAATGTCATGTTCTAACTTTATCATAGTCAGTGAAGTGTTTTAGTCTTATAACTTACAATGTCATGTTCTAACTTTATCATAGTCAGTGAAGTGTTTTAGTCTTATAACTTACAATGTCATGTTCTAACTTTATCATAGTCAGTGAAGTGTTTTAGTCTTATAACTTACAATGTCATGTTCTAACTTTATCATAGTCAGTGAAGTGTTGTGGTCTTATATCTTACAATGTCATGTTCTAACTTTATCATAGTCAGTGAAGTGTTTTTAGTCTTATATCTTACAATGTCATGTTCTAACTTTATCATAGTCAGTGAAGTGTTTTTAGTCTTATAACTTACAATGTCATGTTCTAACTTTATCATAGTCAGTGAAGTGTTTTAGTCTTATAACTTACAATGTCATGTTCTAACTTTATCATAGTCAGTGAAGTGTTTTAGTCTTATAACTTACAATGTCATGTTCTAACTTTATCATAGTCAGTGAAGTGTTGTGGTCTTATATCTTACAATGTCATGTTCTAACTTTATCATAGTCAGTGAAGTGTTGTGGTCTTATAACTTACAATGTCATGTTCTAACTTTATCATAGTCAGTGAAGTGTTATAGTCTTATAACTTACAATGTCATGTTCTAACTTTATCATAGTCAGTGAAGTGTTGTGGTCTTATATCTTACAATGTCATGTTTTAACTTTATCATAGTCAGTGAAGTGTTGTGGACTTATATCTTACAATGTCATGTTCTAACTTTATCATAGTCAGTGAAGTGTTTTTAGTCTTATATCTTACAATGTCATGTTCTAACTTTATCATAGTCAGTGAAGTGTTTTTAGTCTTATATCTTACAATGTCATGTTCTAACTTTATCATAGTCAGTGAAGTGTTTTAGTCTTATAACTTACAATGTCATGTTCTAACTTTATCATAGTCAGTGAAGTGTTTTAGTCTTATAACTTACAATGTCATGTTCTAACTTTATCATAGTCAGTGAAGTGTTGTGGTCTTATATCTTACAATGTCATGTTTTAACTTTATCATAGTCAGTGAAGTGTTGTGGACTTATATCTTACAATGTCATGTTCTAACTTTATCATAGTCAGTGAAGTGTTTTTAGTCTTATATCTTACAATGTCATGTTCTAACTTTATCATAGTCAGTGAAGTGTTTTTAGTCTTATATCTTACAATGTCATGTTCTAACTTTATCATAGTCAGTGAAGTGTTTTAGTCTTATAACTTACAATGTCATGTTCTAACTTTATCATAGTCAGTGAAGTGTTTTTAGTCTTATAACTTACAATGTCATGTTCTAACTTTATCATAGTCAGTGAAGTGTTGTGGTCTTATAACTTACAATGTCATGTTCTAACTTTATCATAGTCAGTGAAGTGTTGTGGTCTTATATCTTACAATGTCATGTTCTAACTTTATCATAGTCAGTGAAGTGTTTTAGTCTTATAACTTACAATGTCATGTTCTAACTTTATCATAGTCAGTGAAGTGTTGTGGTCTTATAACTTACAATGTCATGTTCTAACTTTATCATAGTCAGTGAAGTGTTTTAGTCTTATATCTTACAATGTCATGTTCTAACTTTATCATAGTCAGTGAAGTGTTTTTAGTCTTATATCTTACAATGTCATGTTCTAACTTTATCATAGTCAGTGAAGTGTTTTTAGTCTTATAACTTACAATGTCATGTTCTAACTTTATCATAGTCAGTGAAGTGTTTTAGTCTTATAACTTACAATGTCATGTTCTAACTTTATCATAGTCAGTGAAGTGTTTTAGTCTTATAACTTACAATGTCATGTTCTAACTTTATCATAGTCAGTGAAGTGTTGTGGTCTTATATCTTACAATGTCATGTTCTAACTTTATCATAGTCAGTGAAGTGTTGTGGTCTTATAACTTACAATGTCATGTTCTAACTTTATCATAGTCAGTGAAGTGTTATAGTCTTATAACTTACAATGTCATGTTCTAACTTTATCATAGTCAGTGAAGTGTTGTGGTCTTATATCTTACAATGTCATGTTTTAACTTTATCATAGTCAGTGAAGTGTTGTGGACTTATATCTTACAATGTCATGTTCTAACTTTATCATAGTCAGTGAAGTGTTTTTAGTCTTATATCTTACAATGTCATGTTCTAACTTTATCATAGTCAGTGAAGTGTTTTTAGTCTTATAACTTACAATGTCATGTTCTAACTTTATCATAGTCAGTGAAGTGTTTTAGTCTTATAACTTACAATGTCATGTTCTAACTTTATCATAGTCAGTGAAGTGTTTTAGTCTTATAACTTACAATGTCATGTTCTAACTTTATCATAGTCAGTGAAGTGTTGTGGTCTTATATCTTACAATGTCATGTTCTAACTTTATCATAGTCAGTGAAGTGTTGTGGTCTTATAACTTACAATGTCATGTTCTAACTTTATCATAGTCAGTGAAGTGTTTTAGTCTTATATCTTACAATGTCATGTTCTAACTTTATCATAGTCAGTGAAGTGTTTTAGTCTTATAACTTACAATGTCATGTTCTAACTTTATCATAGTCAGTGAAGTGTTTTTAGTCTTATATCTTACAATGTCATGTTCTAACTTTATCATAGTCAGTGAAGTGTT